AAATCTGAATATTAATTTTTTTCATTGTGTTTCTTTTGCTTCTTGGCCCTTCAGACAGATGGGCACCTTACATCAGCTAGGAAAATAACACATTATTGGGGAGGCAAAAGAGAATATAGCTCATTAATATTCCTAAAAACCATTACCCTCAGTTTCAGCAATATGCTGCTACAGTTTGTATGGAAATTAAAATTTTTAAAACATGTTCACATGTCTGCTTAAATGTCATTTAATTTTTAAATCCTGGTAAAGCCTCTGTTTTTATAGATGAGGTCATTGAGGTCAGTGTACTCTGCTAGAGAGCAGCAACCTCATAGGTGGAATTCCTGACTTCCTGCTGTCTCTTTTAGTGCTTTTTTTTGCACCATACAAAAGGGGCATGGTTTGGGCATTTGAGAAAGAGAACCAAATTCACGAAGTTGCCTCATAACGTACAGTACCTGCTACAAAATCGTGTTTTCTGAACAGTTTTGCCTGTTATTTTTATTTTTAAAAATGTTTTTAATCTCTTCTAATATCTGCTTCCGTAGTAACTAGATCATTTTATACAGGTTTTACAGCTCTTCTCTCATTATCATCTGCCACTTGATATCTCTTACCAGTTGCTTTTGGTTCTTCTGGTTCTGATTTAATTTCACTGGTTAATTACTTTTTTAACCAATTCCACTTTTCACCTATTCTGATTCTGAAATTATCAGTTGACCCCATGATTTGATTGCTGCCTCACTAGCCCCGTGAGTGGAGCATATTCTGGTAGAAACAGCAGACCCTGATTTCCTTTTGTCCGTGGGTGCATGGCTCCCGGTGCTGAGCTCCCTGTGCTGAACTGTGGGACTCAGGGAACACCCACTGGAAAAGACTGTAGCAGGATGTAAATTTGTAAGTAGAAAAAGAGGATGGGGAGTCGTCATTTAACTTCAAAGATGAGAATGAACAAAGTGACCATTCTAATTAGACATGAACTAACTAGCACCTTGGCCTCCAGGCAGATTTCCTGAATGGCTGGCTTTTGGGACTGAGACTTTGAAAAACCTGTGACATCTTTGAGATGTGGGACGCACACCAGATCAGAGCTGAAGGCCAGTGCAGAATATCTCACTTTATGAGTTGTATGTACCTGGTCCATGGAAGGTGCTGAATAGAAGCTTCCTGCTGCATGTGGGACTCCATCTTTCCCTACGTGCACTAGAAGTTTCCCAATTCATGTTTTATCAGTGAAGGTGATTTCAGATTTTCTTCCTGGAATATATGAAGATAGTAAAGGTGTTTGATGTCTTGAAAAGTCTAGGAACCTGGAACTATTGTCTATGCTTTTGCCTGGCTGATGACCTCTCACGTTGTCAAGAGAGAAGTTTGAGAACCTGGGTTCTAGCTAAATTTGAGCAACATCCCTAAGTCCCGGGGCCAGGCTGAGTTGGGGAGCAAACCAGAGCGTCTCCTAGGTTCCCACCACACAGTTTCCTAACCTACCACACTGTTACCTTCCTGGCCCACCCCTTAAACCTGTGCTTGGAATGCAGCTGCTTCCCGATTGAGACATTTGTCCTGGAACACTGACTAAAACTACATTGGCCACGTGTAAACATAAATATTTACAAGCAGAAACAAATGGCCATGGTTTTTCCCCCTTTAAATGGGTTATTTACGTTGTACCGAGGGTCTAGAGATACTCTCCTATGCTTCTGATGTTTACATGAACTTGACACTGCCTGTCTGCCCAGTGATTAGGCAGCGGGGGTTCAAGTCCTCACCCTCTGACTCAGTAGCACAGTCTATACCAAATCATCAAAATTTTGCCTGATGACCTGGTTAGGAGATATTCACTGCAGCTTCCCAATGAAAAAGAAAAAATTACCATCATGCATGAGACAAAATACTGTAGAACCATAAAAAATGTACAAAAGTACATTAGTTTTAGACATGAAGGATTTTCATGATATCCTATTGAAAGAGTAAATAAATCAAGTTCACAACAGTAAATGCATATAAAATATATAAAAAGCATGCACAAATGAGTAGAAGAAACATTAGCAAGGAGGGACCAAAAGGATAGTTATTTCTGGGAAATGTGAATAAGAGTGATTTTAATTAGAAATGGACAATTTTATTCTCCTGTCTTCTGCAATAAACAAGTATCACTCATTGAAAAGGACATTACTGAGCAATGGAGTCCACAGAGGGGACAAGGACCAGATGCACTTGGGTCAGCAAGATGCCGTGTTCGCTGACGTGTTGGGGCATCAGCAGTGAAACAAGGTGCTGAGGTACACTGTTGATTCCGACAAAAAGGTGCGGTTACGGTGGGCTCCACCGTGAGGCCAGCTTCAGAGAAGCTTTGAAGGTTGGGCCATATTTTTACTCTCTTTAACTAGAAGGCTCTGATTTTGCAGGATAGTTACTGACCTTTCTCTTTTGACTTCTGACAAAATATGTTTTTAATTGTTTTATTGAATACTAATACTAAACATACAAAAGAACATTTAGAAAATACATTTAAAGTACGGAGGATACTCATGCACAGAAATTCAGTGTCCTAGAAATGGAGCCCTGCCATTAACCCTGCAGGGAGGTGCTGCGGGTTCCCCCATTTCCACCTTCCTTCTCCACCTACCCAGAGCAAACCAGGGTCCTGGCTATTTTATCACTGCCTTGCATTCCTTCGTAAATCTATTCTCAAACCATATTTTATTTACTGCTGCATGTTTTGGAGACTTCACACAAACCGCACTTTGGGTGTGCCTGCAACTTTCACTAGGTCTCTGGTTCCCAGGTCTCACCTATGCAGAGTGTGCGGCTGTAGTTCACTTGTTTCACTACTGCCCAGCCTTTCTTGTGTGATGCACCAGGGTGCACTGATGGGTCCTCCTGTTTGTGGACTGCTGCATGACTTACAGTGTTTTGCTACCATGAAAGTTCTTATTCATAACCTCTGATAGTCACGTGTGTTTCAGGTACATACCAATACATGAGTGGAATTACTGGATTGTAGGGTGTTTAAATGTTCAACTTTATTACATAATGTTAATTATTTTCCACCTCTTTCTATTTCTATTCTTGTCAGCAATTTTGAGGCTTTGCATCCTTCACAACGTCACCAATTTTCACTAATGTCAGACTTTTAACTTATTGCTAGTCAAGTGGGTATGAAATGGGTTCCTGTGCATTTCCCCAAACATCAATGAAGTTGAGCTTGTTTTCTTGAGTTTATTAACCATTTGTGATTTCTCCCTATAAAGAATCTGTTGAGTCTTTTGAACCATTTTTCTATTGAGTTATTAACATTTTAAAACTTGGTTTGTAGAGATTTTTTATGTTCTGGGAACTAATTTTTTGATGGTTGCACACGTGACAGATATCTTCTTCCAATCAGTGGCATGCCTTTTCATCTTCCACATTGTGTTTGATGAAGAAATAGTTTTAATTGTATTTATTTTTTTCTTTCCTAGTTGTCCTTTTTCGTATCTTAAGAAATCCTTCCCACCTAGAGATTCATCAGTGTAAATTCCTATGTTGTCTTCTATAATCTTTACAGTTTGACTTTTCTGAATGGTAAAGGTGTTCAATTTTACTTCTTCTCTATGGATATGCTTGTTCCAAGAAAACTTATTACAAAACCTTCCTCCCCACAGGGATGTACAGATGCCAGCCCTGTCTTAACATACATCATAATGAAGCTTCCATGTATGAGTGGGTCCGTTCCCAGACCCTCCAGGGAACATGCGCATTTGAGTTGGCCAGGTGCTGAGGGACTCTACTAGAAACCTTCCTCATTTTTTTAATAATAAGGCATTTCTGTCACATAGCAAGTGAGAGGTTGAACTCTGCCTGGTTGGTCTGTGGCACGAAGATGTCATAAAGAACCCAGGCACTTCCCATTTCCCCTCTACCAGAATTCGTATGTCTGTGATGTGTCCTCACAGCTGCAGCTGCTCCAGGTTCCATATCTGCACACTGCCACATCCAAAGTGCGAAAAGGGCTTCAGGCCCTGAATTCTTATCACATGGTTGCTTTGGACCATTTAGGTAGGAGCATTCAAGTTGCAAGTGCACACACAGTCCCCTTCAAGGTTCTGAATTCTCAGGGGATGATCTTTGGGTCTCGCCATTCAGTGTCGTGTTTCATGGCGGGGAGTCAGCCTTGCAGTCGCTGTGTGGACCGACAGTATTTGTCTCCTGTTCACCTCACTCTTAGGTTACAGCCCTGGGGGCAGAATGAGGTGGGGGTCTCACCTAAAACTCCTCTCCTTAGGTGGGCCTGAACTTTACTCTCTGTCCCCTGAACCCCAAGAGAGAGTGAAAGCTAAGGTTGGAATTCATCCTTGTAGCAAAAGGAGAACTAATGAAAACTTACTTTGTTTACATCTCTGGCTCCCCACTTAGCTTTTTAACTTCTTAGTATTGTTTACCTTCTTGGAAGCTCATGACACCTTGACAATGATGTTTTTCTGAAATGTTTAAATTTTTTTTAGTGAGAGGGTCAGTATATGTATCTTTCAAACTGTGTATATACAAGTTGGCTAAATTCATTTTACAGATTTTTAATTTTTTATTCTTTTGAATCACAGTTGACATAGTAGTTTCAGGTGTACAGCATAGTGGTTAGACAGTTATACAGTGTACAAAATGGTCCTCCAATAGATAATTCTAGTACCCACCTGATACCATACATAGTTCTTACAATATTATTGACTATATTCTTCATGCTGTACTTCAAATTTTTTAATTTAAGTAGTTGGTATATGATGTTATATTACTTTGGTTAGTTTTAGGTGTATAACATAATAATGGGACATTTTCATACCTTACAATGTGATCACACCACCAAACTTACTTTAATATTATGACTACATTCCCCTTTACCTTTTTTACCAATCCTCCTCCCCTCCCACTGGCAACCGTCTTTTTGGTCACTGTTTCTATGAGTCCATTTTTGTTTTGTTTCATTTTGTTTGTTTGCTCATTTAAAAAATCACACTATGTTTTATCGATATTGCCTAAAGGTTTGTTGGAGACTGAACCACTGCAAGAAAGAGATGAAGACGCAGTAGCCAGTGCCGACTTCTCTAGCATGCTCTCTGAGGAGGAAAAGCAAGAGTTAAAGGCAGAATTAGTTCAGGTATGTTTAGTAGTAATTCTGTTGTTGCTATGACTATCTCTGGATCTTGAGAGTTACTATTTCTTTCATATAAGTCTCATATTAAAATGGTTATAATTCATTCAATATAATTTAATAAATCATATGTTGGAAGATGATTTATTTGGGGGGTATTTTGCAATGCTGATTGTCCATTATTTGTTGGTTACAGTACATAAATGAATGGTTATGCTGCCTAAGCAACAATAACAATAGTTGTAGAAATGCATCTCTTCTTTTTCATATCACAATACTGCAGGAAAGATGAATCACTTACAAACCTGGTGGAATTTCTTCAAGATCTTTGTGCAAATACAAACTGCTGTTTAAGAGTAGTTCTTGTTTTAGCTCAGCAACTGAGCTCAACAAATACTTTGAAATGATTTAGTTTTGTAATGAAAAGTCAATCATAAAGCAACTGAATTAATTGAGTTGTGTGCTATTTTGCAGAAAAAAATAAAGCTCTGGGGATAAAGAGGAAAGCTGAGATGAATGTGGGCTTCATTAGCTCTTAGATTGTTGTTGGGGCATCTGGACTTAGAGGTGAGGTGGATGCCTGGCTCATCTTGAATGCAAGTCTTTGTTCAAGCCTTTTGTATGCAAAACCCTTATACCCTTTGCTAAGGAGTGTTTGGTTACATCACAGGAAGAAAGAGCCCTACACAGGGAGTTTTCCAAGTAGAATAAGCATCAGGGCAGGAAGGATGAAGCCAGCATCCCCTCCCCAGTCTGAATCCCTGGCTCAGAGGGCAGGAAGCTCCTGGTCCAACTGGAAGAAAGGCTTTGTCCCCTTCTGGCTCTGGCCTCTTCTGCTGGCTGGGCACAAAGCTTTGAGATCCACCTTACCCTCACCCTTTGTCCACTGTAGACTCCTCAAGTTCTAATATTCTGATTGTGTGTGTTCGTGATTGCACATATTCATATTGAAGATTTTCCAGGAGCTTTCAGAAGACACACCCTAAAATAATTTCATTATAAAATAAAAGAGCAGCTTGTTCCTCTGGTACAGCAGAAATTAATTTACTAAGCACAATACCTCAAATCAAATAGCCTGCTTCTTTAGCTGGGTTTGTCTGTGGCCGCTGATCCAGAACTACTCAGTTTACCTCAGTTTGGCCACTCATTCCAGAGAGCACTGACCAAAGCCAGCCTTATCTGAGACTCTGCCAGCTTCCTGTTTTCTTAAAGCCTGGAGTTCTGGTTCATGACCTGTTCATGTCAATTGTGCTGTCCAAAAGTTATATTCTGTAGATCAGTGTAGATAAACTGATTCTGTGCTAAAATTTAGCTCCATATAATAGTCCAAGTTTAAGTTCAGGTATAACCTCTGTAACAGACCAGCTTTTATAAAATGACTTGACTTTTTTAGGTTCTGGGATTACTGGGTTATACATACATACATACATATATCAGTGTATTTTTGTGCATTCCATATTTTCTAAGTGCTCAGTAGAGAGCATGTATTTATAATCAAAAGAAAGTAAGCCTGAGTTCTAACTGGAGACGCCACGAATATAAATAACCAGCAGTGTTCTCAGAAATTACCATTTTACGTGGCCACATTAATAAGCTTCCAGTGCATCACATTCCTCAAGCTTTTTGAGATTGGCTTCTGGAAATAACACCGGACCCCTGTTACTTATTCAAGTTACTAGGAATCGTGCTTTCATCCCTCGGAATGTGTTAGTTTAGCCTCCATGCTTGCTATCTCTTATTTGTGGATTCCTCAGGGATGGGGAAGCATTATTGCATCCTGCCCAACTAGCACTGTGACTCCATGGACAGCTGTAGGCTGCCCCTGCCCAGTGAAAAGCAAAAGAAGAATATCTTTGCTGTTTTCCCTCTTTGCATTTCATGTCTTCTCCCTCCCTCTCAGGCCACCTCTGCTTTGCTCATTCTTTCTTAAATCTGTCTTCAGAGCCTGTCTACAAGGACTGGTGAGCACTCACGTGCATGCACACACGCAATCAGGTTCTTTCCAAACACACGTGCACTCAGGGGCTAGGATTTAATTATGACAAGGACACACAGAGAACCGCCTCCGTAGTCCCACCACTGGCCCAGTGAGGAACTGAGACACCTTTTAAATGCTCATCTCCTCTGCTTCCACTCTCCAGAGATTCCTTCTGGGACCCCTGGTCTCAAGTAACCCCTCTGTGTCCAAGGGAAGATCCCACTGGGTCTATTAGCCAAGAGGGTAACAGAACACCTCAGAAGCCTGCCTATTAGATTGCCTTTGAGTCAGCCAGTCAGTTATGGCCGTGATCTAACCCCAGAACTTTGCGTACAAGGACTTCTCATCTCTGACTGCTTTGCTTAAAAGGGGTCCTGGGGTGCGCCTCTCTCCTCTTCGCGCACTCCTCTGTATGGCTTCCGGAGCTTCTCCTGCTGCCTTCCGGCTCTGCTGGCTCCTGCCCTGCTGCCCTATCCTCTCCGTCTGTTGTTTATATTCCTACGACGATGCCTGTAGACTTTGGGGAAACTCCTAATTTCATTCATCCACACCACTAGCACACTCGTGTGCTTACCAAGTGCTGGTGATAGGAAGACATGTTCTGGTGGGAGACATAGAACAAGCCGATAACGTCCCAAATTTGTCTACATCTTGGACCAAGTCTGCATTCTAAAAGAGGAATCTGTTGTGAACACAATTAAGTCTTTAGTTTGTGATTGTAGCCATAGAATACATGTGTTTTTCAAAGTTCCTTCAGTGTGAGGCCAGTGTCACCTCTGATCTGGTGCAGTGGTTTGTGCATAGCAGATGTGCCATCGGATGTATAATTAACTTAAATTATGCTATAGCTTCTATGAATATTCATATATGTAAATGCCAGAAGTAGATTATGCTTTTTATAAGCTTCCCATTAAAGACATTATTTTGCATTAGACATTTGTCCTCATTCATCTTATTACCAGCTGTTCCTGGCATCCCTGAGGACTTCGCACATCCATTCTCAGGATTTTTTCCTCTGTCTCCCTTTTTCAATAAGCTTGTTCAATATTTCTGTGCTCCTAACATCCTGCTCCCACTTTCATTTCACTAAGCTTTATTTCATGCTTTGTATTCCATAATGTGACTTGGCTTTTGAAAAGGGTGAAGTGTTGGCATTAGTACTGTAAATCCATGTTATGTAACAATCGAAAACTGCCAATGTCCCCTTGATAAAATGACTCAAGAAAAATGGGCATGAATAGGATTAGGAACATGCCGAGCAGCATTACGAGGTAGGCAGCCCCGGCTTTCAGGCGCCCTTTGTAACCCTCCCTCAGTGCTTCTCTCTTCCTGGCTGTGGGGCTCCCCGGGAAGAACACGCAGTGCCCTCAAGCTCCCGTCTCCTGGACTTACAGACTCTGTCCGTTCCTTCCCTCAAAACCTCTCTTCTTTCTGTACTAAGCTAATGTTTACAACTGATAATGTCTTAGTGTAACATTCTTCTGTATTAGTCAGGGTTCTCCAGAGAAAGAGAAGCACTAAGACATTAAGCAAATGGAAATAGATGTACTATAGGGAATTGGCCGCTGTGATGATGGAGGCCAGCAGGTTCCAAGATCTATAGTCAGCAAGCTAGAGACGCAGGGGAACCAGTGGCACAGCTCCATTCCGAAGGCCGACAGGCTCAAGGCCCGGGAAGAGCTGATGTTACAGTCTGAACACGAGGGCAGAAAAAATGCCACAATGTCTCAGCTCAAATGCAGTCAGGCAGAAAGAATTCCCTGACTTGGGGAAGAGTCACCTTTTTAGTTCTCTTTAGGCCTTCAACTGATTGGGTGAGGCTCACCAACGTTGAAAGGGCCATCTGCTCAACCCATTTTGCCAATTCAAATGTTAGTCTCATGCAGGAACACTGTCACGGACATGCCCGGAATGCTGAAAGAGAAAACATGTCCATACAAAGCCTAGTTCATGAGTGTTCATAGCAGCTCTATTTGCATTAGCCAAACCTAAATGTGCTGCAGTCAGTGAGTGGATTAAAAAAAATGGTAGCGAGTCAGTATAATAGAATACTATTCTGCCATAAAAAGGGAAGAATCACTGATAATGCAGCATCTTGGATGGACCTCAAACAATGTGAAGAAACTGGTCGAGTGAAAAAAGCCAGGCAAGAATAATTATATACTGTGTGACTCAATTTATATAAAATTATAGAAAATGCAAAGTAAATGCTAGTGAAAGAGAGACCAGTGGCTGCTTAGGGGGAGGGGGAGGAGGGAGAATGACAGAGGACCTAAACAACTGTTGAAGGCGATGAATTGATATGTTCACTATCTGGAGTGTGATGACTTCACAGGAGTGTACCTGCGTCACAACCTACATTTTGTACACTTTAAATGTATACAGCCTGTTATGTGTCAATAAAATTGTTAAAAAAGAAAAAGCAACACAGATCTCTCCCTTATGTACATTCTCTTCTCCCTGTTCCGCCCTGCCTAAGATACTAGCTTGGCAAAATCAAGGTGTCTGCATGAATGTTTGGAAGGTTAGAAACCAAAAAAGTAAGCGATGGCTATTTTCCAGTACGTTACAGGCGATTTCATTTTCTTGTTTGTGTTTTGCTGTATAAATGAATGTCTCGCAAGCAGTGGTGATTGCTTTTATAATCATTGAAACTGAAAAATCCATTTCTCACTATTGAACTACCCGTGCTACTGGATCTCTGCGATAGCCTGGGGTGGGAACGAAAAGAAATGAAAGGGTGCAAAGTCTGCCTCAGCGCAAAGCCTCGAGGGGTGTGTTTCAGCTGGTCTGACATCTTCCCCCACCATTCTCCTTCCTGCCTGTAGCTAGAGGACGAAATTACAACATTACGGCAAGTTTTATCGGCGAAAGAAAGGCATCTGGTTGAGATCAAACAAAAGCTGGGCATGAACCTGATGAATGAATTAAAACAGAACTTCAGCAAAAGCTGGCACGACATGCAGACTACTACTGCGTAAGTACAGCAGCGGAATAGCAACAAATTGTTGTTAACTTGCTGTCTCTCCATCCTTCTGTATTTTTTTCTCCAAGGCTGACGGTGACTTGGTACTGTGGATAGAAAAAAATACTTTTTCTGAAAGTGGGGGGAAGTGATAATCATTAAATATGTTGCCTGTGAGCAGACTCTATAAAGTACCTTCATGAAATTAAACTTTGTTCACTGAAATCCCATTTTCACTCAGACCGCCTTTAGGGAATTGTATGGTTAAGACTTTTTTTTCTCTTTATTATATGTTTTCAAGAATTTGTTTAATATGTATATTTTTTTCTTTATGTTTTCTCAAAAAACTGTAAGCGGACATGGAGAGGCCTGGTAGTAGGAAGAGGTACCAGTGATGGATAGCAATTATTTGTCTTGCTGGGGGCTCACTTTGCCTGCTGCTCCTGAGAACTAAAGTCTGTGACCTTTTGTTCTGGTGTTAAGGTGGCCTTTGTTTGAGGAGCTGCCTCTGAAAGGAGTTTGCTGCTTCCCCACTGTGGTTCCTTAAGTTTCCACCTGAAAGGAGAATATTCTCTCCTACCCTAACAGAGAGCCACCCTATAGGCGTTTGTGCTCGTGCTTCCCCAGGGCTCGTCCAGACAGGGTGGGGGCACAGCCCAGAGTAGGGCAGCATGGAGCCAGGGAGCCCAGCAGTGTATCTGCAGAGGCTAATAACCAACCTTCCCGAACCTGATGAGGACAGTTTTAGAAACGGATAAGACACCACACACTGATGTTTATAAACTTCAAATATATATCGCAACACCTTAAGAACAGTCTCCTGAAAAGCATAGCTGGATTTTAGGCACTAAATTAAATGAGCTGATCTGTCAGTAGTTCGGCCTGTGTCTTTGTACATTGGTGGCCTACACCAGTTAATGGCCCTTAACAGCATAAGGTGGGACAATCTCCAATTCCTTGGGTCTGGCCACCTTTGTATTTAGTCCAGGTCTGGAGGCTTCATGTCACACTGACCTGAACGTCCTTCTGGGTGTGAGAGCCAGGCTGGCTCTTTCTGCTTGGCCTCCCTAACCACACCGCTGGGACAAGCTGACCTGTTGCAGGGCCCGGAATTCTGGCTGTCCTGTTGCTGAAGCGAGGGAAGGAGGGAGCAGGGAGATGGGCAGAGGGTGCCTCAGGTTCGCTCCAGGTGTGATGGGCAGGGTGGGCCACAGGGCAGGGAGGGGGGGATTCATAGTCCTCCTGGGACCTGGAATTGGAGCAGGCAAGTTCCAGGAAGGCTTTTAGCCTCTTCACACAGGGGAGAATATGTAGTTTGTATTTTTCCCATGTTTGAAAAACAAATTGATTTCATAGTCAGACACCTACTTAGTATCAAGGTTTTTTTGTTGTTGAATGAATAGAATAGATTTATTCTCTGGGGCATAAAATTATAGTCCAGTCAGGAAAACAGAGTTTTTTTTTTGTTTTTGTTTATCTTATAGGTTATTACAAATTACCAGGCAAAAGTTAAGTGTGAAGGACGGGGTATTGTCGGGTTGGGAAGCATGAGGTTGAACCTTGCTGGGCTTCCAGGGAAGGCTTCCTGAGCAAGAGACGTCTCAGCAGAACTCTGAAGATGAGTCGGAATTTTGAAGCCTCCTCAGGGAGGTCCAGCCCGGTGAGGACCCATAGGAGAGGGGGCTCCTTGCAATGGCAAGTTGTCCAGTTATTTGGTCTTGCGGAGGGGGCAGGGAGAAGTGGCCTTGCAGCACCTGTTAGTAGAGTTATTTTTTATCCACAGGCAATAAAAAGCCATTAAAGGGGCTGTGACAATTCATTTATCCAACAACTTTGATGAGGATCTACTCTCAGGCATTATTACCCAGAGACTCATCTAAACCCACAGGATATAGTCTTCAGAAAGATGGACAAAGTTCCTGCTCTCCTTGTGTGTTGAAAGGGAAACAGATAAGGAAATACAGTGCCAGGAAGTGCTGTGTTGTAAGTAGCGTAGGATGATGTTCTAGAGGGTGACGCTGCTGTGATTGGCTCCTAGTCAGGGAAATCCTACCCTGGGAGGTCTCTATGGGCTGAGACCTGAATGATGAGGAAAAGCCTCTTGTGATCATCTGCGTAAGAGCTTTCAGGCTTACAAGTTTTTCAGAGCTTTGCAAAAATTTCTACAAAGACCCAGAGACCAGAACTAGCTTTACTGTTTTCAGGAGCCAAAGAAAGTGCTGTGTCTGGAGTGCAGTGAGAGGAGAGGTCAGAGCCTCTGGGGCCTCCCAGACCATGGGGTCAAGTGCAGATTTTCTTCCAAGGGCTCAGATCCTGTTGGAGAGTTTGAAGCAGGAAGGGACCTGTTCTGATTCATCTTTCAGAAAGAGTGGGGAGGCAAGAGTGGAAATGGGAACATCGTTTATGGAACTACTGCAGTTTGCAGTGATCATGATGAGGGAGAGTGGTGGACAGGTAGGGGACAGGATTTGGAGGTGAGGCCAATGGCACTTCCCAGTGGTTGGGGAGTGGAGGATGAGGGAAATAGGAGTATCAACTTTGACTCCAGTCTTTGACTTGGGCTACTGGCTGAATGTGGGCATTGTTTACCACAGTAGGAGTATAGCACTGTGGTTAAAACCATGGGCTATGGACTCCAGTGTCTTAGGTTGAAATCTAGATCTCCCTGCATCTGCGGGAAGAGATCAGATTAGTCCCTGTTTCATTGTAAGTGAGGATTCAATGAGTTAATATTCATGCACCACAAGGATCATGTCTGACACTTTTTAGGCACATTCACTGTTGTAGGAAAGACTGAGTCAGATATGGTGGGGAGACCCAAGAATTGTTTTGGCTGTGTGAAGTCTGAAATGCCCAGTAGACAAACAAGTTTATCAACTGAGAGGACAACTCAGAGAGAAAGTAAAGGACAGAGATGGACATTCAGGAGTCATCTACATACTAATCAATATCTTGAAAGCTGTAAGACCTGTTGAGATTTCCTCAGAGATTATGTAATAAATACAGGCAAGTGTGGATTCACTAACCTTTAGAGATGACATGAACTTTCCTTTGTAGAAAAGAATCCCTTTCTTAAGAGGGAGGTGTTCACCTATCAACAAGATAATTTTCCTCCCACACTCTTTTCTTGGCTGCTGAAAGAAGAGAAAAATTCTTAATCACATGTTGGGGGGATAACAAATCTATTTTCTCCATTAATTAATTAAATCCCTGCTGTTAATGTCCATGATACCCATTCCAGGACAAGCCCTGCACCTCATACAATGAAAATTCCAGTGGGAGGGAATTGGTGTGGGATTAGGTTGGGTAGAAGTAGATTTTAAAGCACTGAAAAGAATTTTAGCTGTCAGAGAATTGCCTGTGATTCCTAGAGGCAATCCTTTGCATACTGATTAGGTAATCATGACCTATTTAGTCTGATTAATAATGAAAAAAATTGGTGGTATGGTAATGAAAGATCTTAGCATATTTTAGTCGTTTTGTCGATTTGTCTTAGTCTTAGTCGTAGTCAGTTTGAATCCTTCTGGTAGGATTCAGATTGGAGTAGGATGGATGAGTGGGAATAACTACACAGCACACTGAAATTACCTCCTTTCTGGAAAGATAGCCACACAACAGCAGGTCCTCAGAGATCACCATCGTCCAGGGTTTGCTGTTGCTGGTTTGTTTGTTTTTTTGTCATAGTTTTTCACATGCCTTGATTTGAGTGAATCTAAGAACAAACACAAAATATTTCCCCATCCTTTTTCTTTTAATGATCTCTGCTGTTTTTTTATGTTGTCTTTAGGCTTCAAGGAGATACGTAGGATGTGTGCGGCTTTGGGGTCTGGCTGTGGGGAAACCACCGGAGATATTGAAACTCTCTGTAGGCAGAAGGAGTAGGGACTCAGAGATGCAGCATTGCTGCAGACCATTTAATCTGATGGTGCTTCGTTTTAATGTGTCCAGCCTTTGCCAACCCATGAGATTCTCCTGCTGATAACCTCCTGTGAGTTGTACCACAGGCCAGATGGGAGGTCCACAAAAGGGAGAAGGTTTTGGAATGGAATTCAAACGATGCCATCTTTTGGAAAGTTCATAACTTTAGCCTTTATAAATAGAAACAAAACTCTTACATTCAGCATTTTAAAAAAATGCACAGTGCTTAAAAATTAAAGTCTACCTTATGACTTTGATTTTGTGCTTCTAAGACTTCCAGGCCATTGTGGTCAGTAATGATTATTTTTTTATGGGAGTCTGTTGGAACACCACTGAGTTCAGAAGTGCCAGTAAAGATCAAAGACCTAATTTTAAAAGCGCACGTAGCCAGTCTCTCACAGTTGTTCATTCTTCTTACCTTTCAACTTTCATCTTATTGTGCAAGGCAGGAAACAGTTTCTGTTTTTTAGATTCAAAATGCAAATTTATGTTTTAATAACACTTTCAAAAAAACCTTTGGAGAAATATTCCTCAATATTTTTGTATTTTTGGTGAATTGATGCAGATGCAGTCATTAAAGTAATGCCCTTTTTCTTAAATTCCATAATACAAAATATACTTGTGCTATTAAATACCTTCTTGCAAAGAGATTGTTGAACCTTTAGATTCCGTTTTTGTGCAGAAAAGGCAAAACATTTTAGAGGAAGACACGCTTTTCCCTTTTGATTATATTTTATAACACTGACTTCTAAATGAGGAAGGCAAGACAAAAGGAATCTACACAAAAAGTCAGTAGGATACCTCTCAGGGAACCCCACTCCACATACGGAAGATCCCCTTGTTGGTGTGCTGGCCAAACAGCTAACCTGAGCTGGCCATTAAATGCTGTTCATTTCTTAAAGAAAGGGTGGTACATGTGAGCAGTGGAATATTATTCAGCCATGAGAAAGAAGGAAATTCTGTCATTTTTGACAACATGGATAAACCTTGAAGGCATTGTGCTAAGTGAGATAAGTCAGAGAGAAAGAGGGTTACTGCATGGTATCATTTATGTGTGAAATCTACAAAAAACAGGGCCCCTCACACCCGCCTCCACCCCGCACCCACCCCACAGTCCCCACACTGCTCTCCATGTCCACGAGTCCTTTCCTCTTTTTGTTCCATCACTCCTTTTAAAGACCATTTATAAGCCCAGTTAATCCAAGTGTTCATGACGGTTTTGGGGCCCTATTTGGTGCATGTTTCTTCTGAAGAATTCTTGGCAATGTCATTTCAAGATCACGCTTCCCAAAAACTTTGTAGTAATGGCTCATGTTTTTATTTCTGATCATTAACATTTAGTACTATGTTAGCTGCCTTATCACTTACATCACAAGTTAGATGTTAAGATTTTATTTCATATGTTTACTGCCCGAAATTCCATGGTTTTATGTAATCATAAATTTTTTCCCAAAATTAAACCCCAAAGTCATTTAGTAAAATGTAAAAATGAAATTATACTTTGAACAAGCTGGTATTTTTTGTACCTTCACAGCAAACAACATAGGGAGACATCCCAAAAGCTACTTCTTTCTTCCACCTTCTCCCATCTCATTGGCCGCTCGACCCCAGAGCCGTCTGGGGCCCCCCTTCCCCCTCCTACTCACATGGCTGTCTCGGGGGACAGATTTCCTCCTACTCGCCAGATTCTTCTTTGACCCTTATTTTCCTCGGTCTTTCCATATTCACTAGGAAACATCTGTTTGAATAATGAATAACTTGGTTTGGCTTTATGATCCAGATCAGCTTTTTTTCAATCTCTTGCTTCCCATGGCACACATAAACTAATGACTAAAATTCTGTGGCACACCAAAAAATATATATTTTTGCCAATATGACAAGAAATAGGTATAATTTTGATTCATTCACATTAGGTAGCTATTGTTGTGTTGGCTCTTGTCATTTTTTTTATTTGACAGTGTACGGGAAAGAGGTCAGTGACCCTGACTAAATAGCCAGGTATTGCATGTTTTAAAAATTCTTGCCACAAACCAGTCAAAAATCACTGGTCTGGATAATAGGATATTTATACTTCCTGAAAAAAGGCATTGCGTAAATAAATATCATACAGTGCTGTAATGTTGTAAATGTTTCTTCCTGCAAAAGAAAAAGACAGTGATAGAATACCTCGTTAATAAAGTAATTTCAGTCCTGAAGAAGACCAAGGGGCATGTTTAAAGCATTTTCTTAAAGCACAGTAGTGCAATTAGGACTGCAAGACTTGTGACGGATGGAGAGGATGGAGGGATAAGGGACATTCCCGCACAACTGTTTTCATGCAATGTAAAGTCTGCTCAGAGGTACCAAATAATGCAAGTGTTCCAGACTGAACAGGCAGCTTTGGGGGAATTTACTTGGGCCCAGCACATATTGGAAGAAGATGTTATGTGCATAGGAGAATTAGTTTTTAAAAATCTATACAAAACATTTTTATTTTCAGTTTCATTGGGATGTAATTGACATACTGTACTGTGTAAGGTTAAAGTGTATGGCATTAATGACTTATATTGGGAGGTGATATACAAAACATTTTGTTGGTTTCTTTTAATTCCCTCAGGTTAGGTGTCTTTTGTTTCCCACTTGAATATCTCTTAGAAGTTTTTCAGACTTATAGCTGCAGTGTTCTTCCTGGTACTATGCTCAAAACCCCAGGCTGACCTTTTCATCTTATTCTATTTGTCACTTACCACCTCCTGTCAAGTCTGTGCCCCATGTCTCGGTGACCCACCCCACTCTTCTCTGTTCTTACTGCCACAACTCCCGGGTCAGAGCCACAGAGGAGCACCTTCTGAGCATCCATTTATTCATCCGGTATTTACTGAGTCTCTCCAGCCACTGGGGACACAAACACAGTCTAGCAGGAATCTAGACCACGTGAACAGGTGGATTGTTGAAGTACTAAATCCCTAAAACTGTTTTGAAAAAGCCACTGTCACCTTAAATTATGTGCTTTTCTTATTCTGATATAAGTAATAAAAAATTGAGTTAAATACTAGTTTTGTTTTGCCTTGTTAGGGTTCATTTTACCCACAGTGACAGTAAAAGCTTCAATTGCCCTTTGAAATATGTGTTTTAAAATTTCTGTACAACCTCTGATGGCTAAAGCTTTTATTGGCCAATGTCTCTTTGTAGAATTCATACATTTCTTTAAGAATGGCTGTTTACTCTCAGAATAGCTCCACTCTGTGATTAAAGATCTGTACATTCAAACCTGTACTTGAGTACTTGTGTTCTGCCTGAACTCAAATTTAACAGTCTGACTTTCCCTCTGATGAGTGGTAGCCAACCCATCATTCCCAAACAATGACTAGAAACAATCACTGCTGTGGGTCATCTTCTTTCTAAATCTGTTTAGAAAAGGCAGTTTTCAAAGTAAGGAGAGAAAGACGATGACTGTTTTATGGGCGATCATGATATATAAACTATTGTTCCATTTTACTTCTAGCTACAAGAAGACACACGAGACCCTGAGTCACGCAGGACAGAAGGCAACTGCTGCATTCAGCAATGTTGGAACAGCCATCAGCAAGAAGTTTGGAGACATGAGGTATAGTGGGAGAGAACCGTGGCTTCCTGAGGGTGGAGGGCATTGCCTATTGGCTGGTCTGCCCAACATATTCTTTTTTAAATTGGGTTAAAATATTATGTGGCAGAAATTGGTGATTGAGACAAATTATTATATTAGGACATTTTCTGACTGAACGTCAGCTCAGTGGGACACCTAGTTTCAAAGATGCCTGTTCCCCTGGGATCCGATCCGGTGTGACTAGAAGATAAAGGATGTCTTCAGTCACTGCTGATGAAGGGGGATTTCAAAAGAATGGCACACACTGAATTTTAATTATTGTAACTTAAACAATAAGTTACAATATGCACTCAGTGGAATATGCTCTGATAAACTACTTTAGTTATGGTTTTATATAACGTAAGTATTATTTTATTCCAAAAAGGTACCTCATGGTATATATATATATATTTCTGGTAGTTTTCTTCCTTCACTTTGGCAATATTGTGAACATGTCAATAACTGTCTATTGCACCTTCATTTTTAGTGACTGCATTAGTTTCCAGTGCATAGCTGTAGCCAAACTTCTGATCAAGTCCCCTTGCACATTTTAGTTATTTTCATATTTTACTATTATATAAAATTAGGGTGAACTTCAAGATTTTGAAATGATAACCAGATGTCCTCACTATAGTCACCAGAAAAACACTGTAGTGTTGACCATTTTTTTATATTATGTGCTAAGGAATTATATAGAATTGTTACTCTTATGTTTTTTGCTCATTTAAATACCTATCGTGGTTTATTTTGAATTTAGCTCTTATGCTTATAAGATTTTCCTTTATAATAAATCAAATTCATTTTTTAGAAATCAAATTATTCTCTAAAAACTTTCAAAATACATTTTAAATTTCTTTTAAAAGGATCTGTATTTTTTTGGATTCTTAAACTATTAATTTTTAATTACTTTGCAGCTTTGATGCCTAGACACAAATATTTATGTCTTTGTGTTTAAGTTATTTTGGTTTTAAATATTGCTAGATTGTGTGCCCAGTATCAATGTACCATCTCAACAATTTGGCATCCATAAGGCTAGAGTTAAGTAAGTACATGTACATTAATCTGAGCATTTTTACTAATAATGCCATAACAAAACCACTGATATTCTTCAGAGGCAGCATGTGGTTAACAGGTAAACATTCTGGATTATTAATTAACATTAATTTTAATACAAATAAAATCTTCAGTCATTTCAATGGCACTACAACATTTATGTAAACTAAATGAATAATTTCTTAAATAGGAAAGACCCTCTTATCTGTTATATCTAAGGAAATAAATTTAGCTGTGTTTATAAAATTCATTCTCCACATACTTGAAACCTTTCACTTGAACACTGAGACCTCAGTGTTTCTACATCCTTAGGGGACCTTATAACTGAATCTTGTTTAAAATACATATTTACAGACTGCTCCTCTCACAGATTGTGCCTCAGTGGCCCTTGGGAGGAGTCTAGGAATTTACATTAGTAACAGCCTCGTAAGTGATTGGACTTCAAGGGGTCAGGTTATGAGAAAGCCAGAGGTTACTCAGCTCGCGTGTACCTGGGGTTTTTGTCAATTATGAAATTGGGATAAGGGTAACTATGTCATTGAGTTATTTTAAAAGTAGCAGAAGGGAGCCTGTCAGGTATTCAGTACTCGATAAATGCTAATTGCTATCTTTAAGAAGTGACCGTCTCAGTTACAAGGCGGACCCTATGACAGAAACGAGAAGGAATTCATTAACAGGAGCACACTGTATTTCATAAAAGCTTTGCTCTTTGTTTTTCTAAGTAGTAACTGAGTTTTACACATGCATTGTGTTGACGTACTTGTGTTCATGCACTAACTGGGGACAGGACTAAGGATGCGTTGACTGCCTTTCCTCCTGCTTCTGCGCGGCTTTGTTCTAGTGCAGTGGGTTACCTGTTTCCCAGGAGTTCTAAATAGTTTGTTAACTGGTGCCCTATTATATAGAGGGTACAACATTTTCATTATGAACTGTGGCTAAACATACTAGGAAATGGAGCTGATGTTACTGAGACGCAGGTAATGGCCCTGTGGTATTTCATAGGCCTTTATTTTTAGAGCTGTAGTTTTCTCTAAGCACACTATGTAACATTTTATATAAATGAGGATAAGTCCTTGCGAAAGCAATGAGTTTTGCAAAGAACTTTTACTTTTAAATTATGCTAAAAGGATAAAAAGCCTACTTAAAAGCTGCTTAAATTTACTCCAATAAATAGTCTTAACTGAGAAAAGTTAATGTTTTTTGTTCAAATTAATTTGTCAGTTTATGAAATGATAGTGAGGAAGTTTAAAAATTATATCATAAACATTTTGCTTTGCACCCCTTTTTGGTTTAAATATGATAAATATGGATTTTGAAAACCTATTATTTGGGCCTTTTAATAATTGAATGAAAAGCCCTATGATATCATTTAATTTTAATATTTTGTAAGAATAAGTAATTTTTCCCAAGCCAAGATTCTCATTCTCAGCCAACTGCCGTTAAGTGAGGTCCCCGTAGCCCAGTCATGGAGTTGCTTAGTTGCTTAGTCTTCCATCCATGAAATAACATTGTTAAAAGCTCCCTAACTAAGATGTTCCCTGTAGAGTTAAAATGCAGTCACATTTATGAAAGCTCTCTGAAGAAATGTAAGCTATTAGAATAATTTTTATAATATTGACATCTTCTTGAAATTTCTCATTGAATTTGTTTAAATTGCATGTGATCTAGTGCAGATAGAATCTTTGGAGGAGACACGTAATTTATTAGAGTTTCACCATCATTACATATCCATGAGAATAATAGCTAGAAGCACTCGTAACAGGTTGGTAAAACAAGACATTAAAAAGTCAGTAGACTCAAAAAGTGTCGTGAATCGCCATCTGTGCTGGGGCTCTTGAGAAAGGGGACAATGGCCAGCGTGGTTGTTTCTGTGCATCCTGATGCGCTAACTCTGCTCCTGCTCTTCTCTCCTGTGCTGGCCCGGCTGCAGGTCTCACTCCATCGGGTAAGCGCTGCCTCCGGGGCCCTGCCACTCCCCTGCCCAGCCATGGTGTCCCTTGCTTTCCAGAGCTCACTGTTTCTTTCACACTGTAGGTGTGCCTCAGCAAAAAAAAACAGTCTTTTTCCTGAGAGTGTCCATGACCAGGGAGTTAGAGTAAAGGGCACCGAATGCATGTGGATTTATTTCAGCACATAGTTATCTCTTTCTCAACCATTTACACCTGTGTCACTTGCTGAGCGATCTCTTACGAATCTCTTTTTCTGCACCGTACCTCTCTATGTTGGCAGAGGTCGTCCACCTAGGAGAAGAAAAAAAGAATGTGGATATTGAGAGTTGTGCATTTTTAGAGAACTTCTAGAAAGTAAGGTCAAGAAGCAGAAAATTATTTTTCATGTTTTTTGAACACCTTGTAACTGTTTCTCCTGGGGATGGTTCATCTTGGACTAGATTCTGGACCTTCTGAAGTTGAAGAGGGAGAGAAAGTTCCTGGAGAAGCGCACGTGTTAGGAAGTGTGCAGACATCAGGCCAGGCCTCTGAATTAATTTTTTTAATTTTTTTAGCTGGAATCTTACTATATACTTTTTAAAAACTTGTATTTAAAGTGATTAATAGTTTAATAAAGCTGATGAATGCCTTTAGTAATTCTTTTTAACATAATTTCTGAGGCAATATTTTGCCTATCATTTCCAAATAGAGTATCTAAAGTAGGACCATAAGAATCCCTGGAATTTTTTATCCTTTTTTGTTTGAATTCTAGTCAAGTGCCACCCATACCGATGACCTCAGTGGATACCAGTGGGGAAGGGTGATGAGTTGGATCCCTTCCCAGTCGCTTCTTGGGAGGAGAGAAAGCAGGGATGGTGTTAGAATGTGTAACAGGGTAGTGCCAGCCCTGAAAAATGGACTTCATTTTGCTTTCTTCCTCCACCCAGCCTGATTACTGAGTGGAAGTCATGTAGAAATAGCAGGCGATTAATTTCAGAGAAAGTGAGTCAGCTACAGTTGAATTAAGGTGAGAAGATCGAAAGTCATCGAGTTCTCGGAAGTGTTGCCATTATGGTACCGATGTTATAGAATGAACTGGAACCCCTGCAGAAGTCCCTGCTCTTCTGTCTGACTGTGTGAATCTTGTTTGCCTGGCATGTGTTTCCTTGATTGTCTTAGAATGTTAGCTACAGATATTCCTCTGGAGAGTTTCTCTACAATGGAACGATTAGCTTTTACCTACCCAGCTCTACTTCTTGGATAAGCTTTTCCTGTCTTCTTGACCAGGAGAAAGAAGTGGAGGAGCTGGACCTTAAGAGGATGTCCAGGGGCTACTGGGCTGACCTGGAGGAAACCAAACATCCTCCTCAGATTCCCTGGCCTACAGGGAACCTACAGGAAAGAAAATAATATGCAACTAGGCACCACCTACTCTTCCTTTAGACCCTTGTAATCAACAGGGGCTCATGCTACCCAATGAAAACAAATATCATCTGGGTGGGGTGGGCAGCAAATACTTCAGAGAGTTGAGATTGCTATTTTAGAACTGTGAATAGGGAGTTTCTCATGTACTTATATTGTGCTGTGTTTTTTCTTTCTTTTCTCCCCTTTAATCTGCTTTTGCCCTGAAGCTACTCCATCCGCCATTCCATAAGTATGCCTGCTATGAGGTAACGTGTGTAAATTACTTTACATAATATTAATGCCAAATATGTATGCAGTGTTAGTTTATTGATATTTGCCTTGCGATTTTTTTCTCCTTTATGTGAAAGGAAGTGCCATGTGGTTTTTTCCTCCGTCTTTATGTGAAAGGAAGTACCATGACCTACTTTATTCTCATTTCTGATGGTCCTCACGAGAAAAGGCTGACAACTCTGTACAAGTACTAAAGGTGCTTTGAGCTTGGGCTTTTGACCAGACACACTAGCTTGAATTCAGCCGCTCCTGATGTGTGAGACCTGAGAGAAGTTGTTTAACTCACTTCAATCCTCAGTCTCTTCTGGACACTGACTGTGGGAGAAACAAGACTTCCTTCAAGTAGTTGTGAGGTATAAACCAAGTAACCTGTGTTGGAAAGCCCTTAGAACAGGGCCCAGAACATTCTGAGCACACTTGCAAAAGTGGAAATATGTTTCTTATACCCCTAGAATTAAATACAAGCCTGGAAGAAAATTTAAATGAAAGGATAGGAGATTTAGAAAGGATATCCTTTCTAAAACTACAGTTTAAGGTATGTATTAAGGTGAGGTATCCATTGAACAATAAGATTATTGGCTAGTTGAGAACTGAAAAAGATTTTTTCTGCTTCCCGTTTGCTCAACTTTGTAATACAGCAGATAAAATCAAGCTGATAGTAATAGAGTCTATGAAAGTTGGATTGAGAATCAGAGGATACAGGTTGCAGGCCAACTCTGCCAAGAGTGAACTTTGCAGCCTTAAAAGACTCACCTCAGTCATATAAGTTTCATCATGTTTTCAACAAGATAAGCTAGAACCAGATTTATTGCTGTTCCTAAGGTGTTTGCCTTGGGTTGCCATGGTGATGGTGTTGTGGGGGAGTAGGAATCAAGCCTCTGGGACCCTCCCCCACTTCAGTTAAATCTGTGCCAGTTCTACCTGCTTTGTCTCATGTATCATGGTGTGGATACATTACAGAGGGGGTTCAGTTACTCTAAAGAGGTTGAAAGCATTGAAGCCAAGTTCTTTTTGGGGTTATTTGCAGTGCTAAAAGTTGCTAGTTGTATATGACATAATTAAATCTGAGTAAACAGTTTCTCCCTGTTCTCTACCATGTATTCTACTGTAATTTAATTAAAAGAATGCCTGTTTTATCCTGTCCAGTGAGGTCTCTTCCAAACTGGGGTTATTCGGGTACGTTGGGAATTTAATCACAGTGTTCACTCTCCCTAATTCGGTGGTGGAGAGCACAGATTCAGGATTGCTTTGTCTGTGTTTGAGTAACTCGCTCCCTCTGGCATAAAGACACACAGACTGGGTAGTGTAACCTGAGGCTCCTAGCTCTTTACTTGTCAAAGTTTAACTGGAGCTTGCAATAAAATTGAAGTGATTTTGCTCTGTGAACCAGGAATTCATCTAGTGGTTTATGAGTCAAATTCAGTCCCCATAAAGTTGCCCAAAAGTAACTTTTAAGAAAATGATTTTACTCACCTCACATACCCATGAACCATTAGGTAAACTGTCTGCCCAGATGTGGTATAATGTGACTGACGATGACTGCAGTCATGTGAGCGGGCTTGGCCAAACAGCTTGCAGTAGAAGTCAGATGCCAGTAAGTGTCTACTTTTGAGACATTCAAGTGTAATTTCACTAGTATTTCCTGATGAAACAGAGGTATTATGGTGGAGCACTCATGGGAATTTGACTCATGTTTGAATCAACTGCAACACGTGATACCATGCTCGGGCCCTCTGATCTCACCATTATGAATTCATGCAGCCAGAACACAAACACATTATTGATCATCCGGAGCATCGGGGTCTCGGGAGACATCCCTAACAAAGCCAAATGCACTTAAAAACATACCCTCGACATTCTTTTCCTATTGATAGTATTAGAGCTGTGCTTCATCCCACATTTCACAATGAAGCCTGTGTTTTATAGCCACTCTCCTTTCAGATGTTTCTCGAGGCCATTCTTCTTATTTAATATGTTCTGTACTCAAGAGAGAATCCTACATGACTTATCAACTGAATTATTTTATCTGAAAACAATGACAATCATTGTTGCTGAAAGCTGACATGGATACAAGATTTAAGACACACTTTTGCCCTGGCTAGTGTGGCTCTGTGGATTGATCACTGGCCTATGAACCAAAAGGTTGCCAGTTTGATTTCAGGTCAGGGCACATGTGTGGGTTGTGGCCAGGCCCCCAGTTGGGGGCATGTGAGAGACAGCTGATCGATGTTCCTTTCCCTCCCTCTCCCTCCAAAAGTAAATAAATATATAAAGCCTTGAAATTGCATTAGATGATTAACTTAACTATTTAAAAAAGACACATTTTAGTTCAGTTCTAGTTTCTCTAGTTGGACTTGGTGATAACCAATTTTAATGATAATGCCATTAAATCACATTATATGGCCAAATCCAGTATAGGAAACCAAAAATTACCAAAATGAAGTATTTAATGCTTGTAGTTACAAATGATATAAAGATTATGTAACACAATGATGAGTCACAAATAAAAGGTCAATAGACTGTGAAGGTTTTCTCTGGTAAGTGAACAAATAGGTATATCGTCTTCAGAAAGAAAAATACCATATGCAAGTAACACCATTCCAACAAGTAACATTCAACTTATAATGACCAAAGCATTGACTTTCAGAAACACTACTTTATGGACATTGACCAAGTGGTTACTTTTGAAGGTATTGAAAAGAAAAAATATTTACAAATCTTTTATTTCTTGAGCTACTTCTGTCTTGTCTCACATTCACTGAAATAAATTATCTCAACATTCCAGGTGGAAAAACTAAGCCACTCTTTAGATAGACTTTTCATGCTAACAAACATGTAAAAAGAACTGGGCAGAGAGTGTTGTGATAGTGATGCTTAGTGAATGAAAAATTCAGATATGACTCCTTTGACTCACTGCACCGTGGAATTTTTACATTTGTACCAGTCACAAATGCTATATTATTCTACAGTTGAGTATCTATTTTACTTAGAAAAATTCCATGTCAAGTCATGGTTTCTGGATCAAACCTACCAGAAGTGAAATGTGTGTTGAAACATGGTTGGTGTAGGTGGCAAGCTGACAGCTAGCTCTGGTGCGGAAGTGATGTTGACAAGAGCGGAAGTCAGACAGCATAGTTGCTAGGACAGGTAGGTCTTTGGAGCTGACATCTCTTTTTTTGTTATTTTAGGAATTCTCCTACTTTCAAATCATTTGAGGAGAGGGTTGAGACAACTGTCACAAGTCTTAAGGTACAGATGAAGTGAATTTTATGTCATTGGGGCCATTGAATCAGGACAGCGGTTAGTCCCAAAGAGGAGGCTGCCAGCATGTGGGGCTGTGAAGAAGGCAGCCTTGCAGAGTCAGTCTTCACGTGAAATCTATAAATAAAACCAGGGTTAAATAGTATTTCTGTGTCCTTACAAAGTTGTTCTTATAAACCACTAGGAATGAATTGTTCATTAAAGTGCCTTCATTGGTTTCATTTTCCAGCAGTCTCTAGTGGTGCAGTTTCATGCTTCTGCTTGTCAACATCATCATTTGAGTGACCAGTAAAAGCCATTAAATTGCCCCCATTCATAGGGAAAACTTTTGATAGGGAGGGATATACAACATTTCAGACATTTCTATTGTTAGAATATCTAGTTTCAAAACAAAAGGCTCAAAAAATCCTAGGAGTCGATTTTTCAACATTTGATTCTCAGCCTAAGACATTCCAAAGAGGATGGATTCTGTTGCTTTGTAGACAAGTTCTGACCTAGGAGAAGTTGTACCTTTTAGGTTTTCTTTAGAAGAAGGAGCTATGAAGAAGCAAAAGAAGAATAAAGAGCAACCTATTTTCATTTGCTTGTAGAAACCTGGTAAGCTCATGTCTCACATATGATTTTGTGATTTAAGTGTTTGGCCCACATGCTCAGCCCTCACTTTCTCACCTTCTCACCTCATTGGGATGGGAGGTGGAGAGCCTGTGTGCTCCTCCGAGCATGCACAGAACTAACTCAGCCACCTGGGTACAGCCCGTGTCGAGACTTCCTCAAAGCGGGCACTTGTCCGTGGGTTTAATAACACTCACATCCCACCTGCTTCCTAAGTCACGGTCAATGCCTAGTTCCTCTTTTTCTGCCCACCCAGGTAATGGAGAATAGCTAATGACCATGCTTTGTGTAAAACCTCCCACTTCTTCAGTAATAACAAATTTCTCATTCCTTTCTTCCTCCAGATGAAATAATGGATCTAACCTTTCTTTATATAGCTTATTTTCTGCATAGTTTACTTTTCTGTCCTAAATCTTTTACAAAATTTCCGTGGTTTTCTTTAATTGTGGATCCTGAGGCTGAATCAGGAAGGATGAGTGAGATCCTTTGCAGGTCTATATGCCACGTGTCCTTTCTCACACACTGCATTAAGCTTGGTTTTTAAGCAAAAAGGCAAGATATGTATGTTTCTTTGCATCCTTTCAACCAGTTCTTTTATTATGAGAGATTAGGAAGCCCAATTCATTAATCAAATAAAATTTTTTGCAAAGAATAGTTATAATTTGGGGGACAAAGTGGCACATTCTTGGGTAAAAAACTGTTATGAAGGGAAGGATCCAGGAGGGGGTTATTGTTCGCATCTGTGCTTAGAGGCAGGTCCGTACCTAGAGCATTGCAGTGAGTACTCATTACCCCACATGCTTATAGGAAACTCCTTTATTTCACTCCTCTTCACCAAACTGATTTATTTCACATCGTTCCCTCCTTCTTTGTATTTCTATTTTGATGTGAGAAAATGAAAAACTAAGTAGGAGAGAAGAATGGAACAAAGCCCAGAAAAAAATCAGTAATTTCTATTTATCTGATTCAATACTGTGTGGAACTTCTATTGCAAAAAAGAATGCAAGTTAAATAGAGAAGAATGGTAACTATTAATAGAGTAAATTAAATTGGGTTAATCTTGTTCCTCTCAGGAAAGAAATAAGCATAGTAAAAAAAAATCACATAATTGAAAGCCACCTACCTCCTTCCTCCCAGTGCTAAAATAACACTGATTAGAGCAACAATCAATGTTCTATGCCAGAGTCCTGTAAACTAAGGCATGTTGGCCAAATCTAGCTGGTCACCTACTTTTGAATGGCCTGTAAGCTAAGAATGGTTTTTATACTTCTTTAATGGCTGAAAAAAGAAACAAAAATAATATTTGTGAAAATCAAATTATAAGATATTTACACTTTGGTGTTCATCCAGTCTTTTTGAAAGTCACGTTCATTCACCTATGCTATTTTTCGCTGCTTTCCACAATGCCTAATTTGAGTATTGGTTGATTCCCAAGCCTAAAATATTTATGTCACTTTCCAGAACAAATTTCTCAACCTCAAGCAGATGGAAAAAATTCAACTTAGTAATTGAAATAAAAAAAGTAGAGTGGGATTTTGGTGACAATTAGAGAAAAGTGCGTGCTTGTTTTGCAATGACTGGACTAATTCTAACCCTGGTTAAGATTTAAAAGGGCAGAGCAGGCAGTGGGCAGACACCTTCATTCCCCGGTGTGGTTTAAGTTCTTGTGAGGGACCACTTTGGTGACAGTGAGGTACAGGCAGCAGCTTGAGAGCAGCAATATTATCTGTTCTTTACCTTTCTTTTCCTCAGAGTGCTTTTTCATATGGTTAATAGTTAAAGAAAGGCCAGTGTGACTATTAATAAGACTTTCATTAAGCATTCTGGGTAATTAAATATTCTTTTGAAGACCTTTTAAATGTGGAATTTTTCAAAGTAATATTTTACTTTAATAAAAGACTGTATACCATATTTCTTAATTATAAATTGATTTCTTCCTAAGTCCATTCTTATTAGCCAATAACAAGTACATGAAAATGGAAGCTTGTAAAACATTGTAACTTTGCATTATAGGGGATATATACCTCCTATAAAAGCAACTACCTAAAAGAGGTAGAAGTGACCAGTGCTTAAGACTAGACTCATCTTTAACTCTCAGAGACCAGAAATCATGTTTAGTTGAAACACTCTGCCTTTTCAAGAGACATTTGTCAGAATCGCAGTTGCTTGTTAAACCTCAAGTAAAAAAACCTAAGTTGAAGTCACTGAAAAATGTCCACACATTTGTAAAATTGAAGGAATATATCTAAATCCAGGTGTTTTTGTTCATTAAAACCTTTCTCTGGGTGAGTGAGGAGATGGAGCCAATCCACAGATCTGATTATGCTCCTGAAGGGACTGAGAATCTTGAATGTACAAGAGACAAACAGAACGTTCACAAAATTGTACAAAATGAAAGTTTCTATTCCAACCCCAGAACCCAAGTATGGATGACATCCTAGCCCTCTGCTAAACCAAACTAACTTCTTTACATCCTTTACAAACCCTCTCAAGGAAAGAAAAAAAAGGTATTGCTGAACTTGAAAATAATCAGTGCTATAAAAACATGACAGAAATGAACTACACTTTTGTGTCTGTGTCCTTTCAGACGAAAGTAGGCGGGACGAACCACAGTGGAGGCAGCTTTGAAGAGGTCCTCAGCTCCACGGCCCACGCCAGCGCGCAGGACTCGGGGAGCGTCCCCCGGCGGGCAGAGGAGGAACTGCAGTGCTAGGGCTGCCAGCCCGCCCCAGTCTGCAGCGGCCATTGACCCGCGCACACGCGTATGAAGACCAAAATCTCACTGAGCAAACCCAGGCCTTGACCTTCAAACAGGCTCTCCACACAGTTTAATAAAGTGATTTCCATTTATATGTGTGTGGATCATGGACCACTGACCACACTCTTCAGTATTCACAGATCACCCGGCATCTTTTAAAATGTCCTGATTTGAGCAGGTACACATTTGGTCATGACCCTTCTCTGTGTAATTCAAACTTATTTTCCAGACGTGAGCTATTAATTACTTGCTGTGATATTTGCTTGGATGCCATTACAATGCGCATGTGTTTGAAGGCTGAGTGAGCACCCCGTTTCCGTTCAGTCAGTCCACCGGAGTCAGTCTGTCCTCCAGCAAAAGGATGACACTTGGATATTTCGCCAGACTGCTTGTGGTCCCCCTCACCTACATCAGTTACATCTGTTATTTAAGCAATTAAAATAATTGATTCTAATGATGACTTTAAATTCTTAATTTCTTTAAGTCTTCAGGGATATTTATGACCTTAAAAGGGGGTAGCTATAATTCTGCAGACACTATTTGTTTATTTTTTAAAAGATTTTATTTGTTTATCTTTAGAGGGGAAGGGAAGGAGAGAGGGAGAGAAACATCAATGTGTGGTTGCCTCTCGTGCATCCCCTGCTGGGAACTGGCCTGCAACCTAGGCATGTGCCCTGACTGGGAATCAAACGGCGATTGTCTGGTTCGCAGGCCCGCGCTCTGCAGACACTATTTAAAATGAACTTCTACTGCTAATCTGGTGAACATGACAGAGGATATATAAGTAAGTACAACCTCAGCTACTTTAGGATGCCAAAACAATCTTCAATTCTAAAATTCTCTCCAATCTACATAGAGTAGTAGTTAATTCAGGTTAACTGCCAAATATGTAAGGGATATCAGCAAAGGGAATATAGTAGCTAGAAAAATGGACGAACCCAAAGTGTGGGACCCTTTACAGTTCGCAAAATCGCTCACATGAATGAAAAAGGCATCATGTTAATGTAATAATATTTCTTCAGTAACTTTTACCTTGCACATTACATGCTTCTCTTTTCTTCTAAATGGGTAACAGAGATACATCCTATACATTCATTTTTTAATGCACAGCGACTAGATCTTCTAACAAAAAATCACAATTTAGGTATCTATTTAAATATATGTATTTATAACATATAATCCACGTAGTACACATGTAGCCTATATATATAGTTAGTATGTTTTTTAAATTTATTAAGTAGAAGTGGACACAGTGAAATAAAATCAATCTGAAAAATTCTATTCTAATTAATGAAGCAGGACAATCTGTATACCTGATGGAAAATCAAGTTGGTTCAGGGTCACATAATCTCTCAGGCCAGGACTCTTAGCAGATAAAGGTATGGGTCTGTAAACTTGAACCAGAGCGGATAAATGTGAACGGAGAAGCCCTGCCAGTAGGATCACTGGTGTTCTCCCTGATTTATCCTTCTAGTCTGTTGGTGGGAGCCAAACCTCATCCCACTGGCTTGTGACCATGCTGCTCATCCCCGGGTGCCTGTGGGTACTCCTCTCTCTCTCTGCCCATCCGCAGTTGCCCAGTGCCTTTGAAACAGTCATCTTTTGTACACTCACCATCACATTTTTTACCACATTCAGGATACTGCACTGTCTTGTAAAAAAAAAAGCAGAATTATGGCACTATAAGCAAATATCCTCATTCGCCAACCAATTTCTGCACACAACAGTTTCAGACTCACAATCGGAAAACACAGTATCAAAATTGGATAAGAAAACAAGAAAGTTAGTGTTGCCGAAATTTATTTAAACCACATTTTTTATCAGCTTTGTACAAGCTATGTTCACGTCACCTCTACTAACTGAAAAGTTTCTAATTATTTACACTGCTGTCAGTAGAAATTGGACTCTTACACAGATTGCAAGTAAAGCATCCCAAGGACACATGCACGGGAGGTTGTGAAGTGGAAAAATTTGAGTGGAAATGGAAGCTGCCCCCTGGGTTTCCGATGTCCCATCTCCTTCTATCCTGGCATGGAAAAGGCCAAGACAAAAGCCAAGGCCCAGAGTTTATTTCATATCAAAGCTCAGTCCTTTGGAGCCCACGGATTCTGCATCCGCCCCAGTAGCTGCTGGATCAGAATGGTTGTGTGCTCCCAGGCAAAAGAAAATGTGTGTGTTATAGAGAGGGAAAACTGTTTCCCTGGTATTATATGTGCTCGGGTTTAGGGTGAACCAGGTGCTTCTTCAAAATAACCAATGAATTTTCCCAGCTTTCGGATGCTTTTTGATTGGTCCACCTCCCAAACAATCCCTTTTTCCCCCTAGAACAGACTGACAGGACCTCTTTGATCGAGCACCTTCCTCTGAGCCCTCCAACAAAGGTACCAGAGCAGGGCAAAGGGATGGGGGTTAATGCCCTTCGTGGAGCAACGCTATCATCCCTGGGGTGTGACGCTGTAGCTTCCTGGTAAATCAAACAGGCTTGTGCTCCCAGTTTATTAAGCTCAATATCTGATTCCCTTTGCTGTCTTTCCTTTATTAACATCTAGCTAACTACATACAGTAATAACTCTGATCTGGGAACAATATAACAGCTATGACATGAGTAGTCTTTTTTTTGTGTGTGTGTATGAACCAGCCACATCATTGATTAGAAAAAATCGAACCACTTGCTGGTAGGCAGGTAGTCTTAGGCTACAGGTTTCATTTCCTCACTAGCTGGTCACTCACGAGATGCCTGTTCCTCCCTCACTTTGCATGTACAAGTTCACATACAGTAAGTTGAAGTGTTCCTCAGGTGATAAAGCATTCCCACACAACAGACATAGCCTTTCACTGGCAAATCAAAATTTCTGGTCAGGACCGTGTATACAAAATGACACCACAACAAAAAATGTGTACTGGTCTCCTCATCCAGTTTCTCTCTCTGCAGGTTGTTAGCTGCAATCAACCTCGGTCCGAAAATATTAAATGCAAAATTCCAGAAATAAACAATTCATAAGTTTTAAATTGCACATCATTCTAAGTAGCTGATGAAATCTTGAGCCATTCCTCTTCACCATGCCAGAGACATGACCCAGCCCTTTGCCCAGCATCTCCCCGCGTATGTGCTCCCTGCCCACTAGTCACTAGTAACTGTCCATCAGATGAACTGCCTGGGTATCACAGCACTTGTGTTTAAGTAACCTTGACTTTATTTAATATGGGCCCCGACGGGCAGGAATGATGAGGTTGGCAATTTGGATATGCCACAGAGAAGCCATAAACTGGATGTATACACAGGAAAAAACAGTATATATAAGGATACTATCCAGTTTCTGATATCCAGTAGGGGTCTGGAAACAGACAAGGGGGGACTACAGTATCTCAATAATCAAAAATTCCAATGTGGACTGTGTTTACAAATAAACTGTCTTTGTTTTAAAGCAAGCCATCTGTAAATTAAACATTTTCTACTTTTTAAATGCAATTGCTCTGATGGAAAATATTATAAATTTATGCTGCAACTTTATTTTAAACTCACATCTCATAAAAACCACAACTGTTGGTAGGTCGTGTCAGCAAAGAAATCTGCATGTTACCCTAAATCACACAATTTCTTGTAAGTCTGCTCTTGAACCACGGACAACAGAGCTGTGCGCTTTACGTGCAATGTCTTGGTATGCCAGCCTTTCGGTGGTCAACATGAGGACACCAGAATGTGAGCTTCTCCCTGCCACTGTATATTGTTCCAGAGCTACCTGTCAGCTTGAAATTTGTTGAACTTCACTATACAATGGTGCATAAGGTTGCAAACACCAGTCTCAACACTCTCCTCTCACTTATTATCAAATTGGAATGTGGGTGGATATAATAAAGGAAGATGGTAATAAAGTTACTAAGTGATTTAATTGTAAAATGTAAAGCAACTTCAAACCTGGTGTTCAAATATAATTTCAAACTATTATCTGGCAAAATCTTATGGTTACTTCTGATATGCAATCCTTTACATTTTTACTTAATATATTATAGAGTATGTGTTAAGGCAAACCAAAAATTATCACCAATCTCCCACAGAAATCATCCTCAATCTCACTTTGAATATGAAGACTAATTAAATAAAAATGCTGGCTACGGAGGATGCTTTTTCACCACACACTTCATCAGTCATTTATCCCAGAGCCTGTATTACAGACTTTCAGATAAACAGGTTAGAAGTTCTGTTAGGGTCAACATTTTTTCTAATACAAGGGCATTGAGAATTATGTAACGGCTAATGAAAGACTAGCCCACAAGGGGAAAACAAGGAATTGTTTTGGGGAAAGAGCCGCCCACCCACAGTCAGCCCCAGGGACTCGGCAGGGAGCACCACCCTGTGGCCCTACCCTCTGCTCTCTTCCTTTTGAGTGAGGTAGTTTCTCTTCCTCATTATAAGGAGGTAACAAAGAGTATTTTTGAGTTCATGTGGGAGGAGGTCATTGAGAGGACATTAACTCCTGGCCGACTTGCAAGCTGGACCTGGGCAATCAGAGGCTTCTCGCTCACACCCATCCGGGGCATGTTGGTTCTGGCCGCTGCTCCCATACTAGGAGTTCTTTCAAGGATTGAGAGTAATGCCTCGTTGAGACCATCTGGATGGTATACATGACTGACCCCAAAAAGCAGCTTCTAGAATATAAACTTAAAAGATTCTGATGTGTGGTGCAGAGATTTACTCATCTTGTGACCACCCCAGATGAGCCCCGTATGCAAGTTCTGCTACTTATTAAACCCGCCACCAGTCAGTCTAGAGTGGTCTGTGTCCTTCTCTGGCTTCTTTACTCTCCATGTATGGCAGCCAGTTTGTGAATCAAGAGTTCAACCCAGAAATAATTATTTACTCTGCATCACAATGATACGGCTTGATATTGAGAAAACCAATTCCAGGCAAGTAGCATGAATCGTCCAAGAAAAATGCATTTTTTAAATGATAATGCTCATATATTTGTAGACATTAACTGATGTCTACAAATAGCTATTCAAGCTATTTGTAGCTACAAAATTCAATAGCTATTTTCATTGATCTTCATTTTGTTTTTATGATATTTTATCTATAGCACCATTACATTTTCATTGTTTTTAAACATACCACCTCAGTAAGGAAGGTTGTGGGTCTGTGTGAACTCCCACTTGGTTGGTAAATGGAAACCTTGATAATGATTAAGTGACCAGTGTTAAATCTGACCCAGTAAAAGGGCTAAAAGTCTCTCCATAAATTTATGAAAAATACATGAGGAAAAATATTGCAAATAAAACTCCAGGGCCACAGGTAATCTTTCAGTTGTAAATATATGAGCCTTATCTTAAGTTATTTTTTGTGCATATTTTCATGGCAGGAGAAAACACTCCAATAGTGATAGCTGTAGTTCTATTTTCCTACCAACTATATCTCCAATAATAACCACACTTTCCAACCATTTATCACCTTTTAAATACGGTTTCTATGATGTGGACAGTATTTGGATGCAAAACAGCATTGCTCTTTTCAACACAGAGCAGCTAGCTGTACGTACATGAGTGTGCTGCTTCTGAAGAGATCATGCACTTTGCTTCCTGCAGATTGGGTATCCATGGAGACTGCAAAGAGTTTCCAAAGAAACGCTGCCTAGAATTCTCACCATGCCAGCCTGAAGGCTTTCTTCAAATGGAAACTGACATTTGAATTAAAGGGACAGGCATCATCTTCTACATAAAAACCTATCAGTGCAAAATAGTGGGCAGGGCTGCACCAACAGCCTTCCCTTCCTTGCCATTCAATGGCTGAGCATCATTTAAAGGCCAGTGGACAGATTATTTATCCTACGAAAGGAAAATGAGGGGAAGAAACCAGGTCTGATATGTTCCCTACATAAGGTCTAGTGACCCCACCAATACTCTTATATATTTCTAACCTGGTGATACATTTCTATAGTCAAGGTGTGAACATCTGTAAATCAGACAGGGAAAAAAACACAGAGGAAAACAAATAGCAGTTGACATGCCCCAATTTTTACCTCCAAATGACAAATAGAATTGGAAGAAGGGGCTGAATCTGTTGCCAGGTTTACAAGTCCATGATCAAAGGCCTAAAACGGGTCACGGTGAAATTAAAAATCTGGCCCAGAGAGTGATCATATGAATAAAGCAGCATTTCATCGGAGGAGATAGTACATTCATTTTCCTGGATCCTTACCAGTAAGTCAGCTGAAAAATCTGTTCTTAAAAGCAATCGTAATTAAACTTTCCACTGTTCAATGAATCTTGCCCTTGGGGATGTAGGATACAAATTCAGTGGATTAAAAATCTCCAATAAATATGCCAAAGTTTAATGTTTTTAAAATGTATGTATTTAGTTCATAAAAAGACACCCGCCCCCAAGTCCTCACCCATGCATTTTCACGACCACATTCTGTTCTGCGGCTTCTTTTGTGGCCCAATTATATCACGTTCCTTGCTGGAGTCCAGGCAGTTGAAAATAAACAGACTCACATCTGGGGAAATCAACAGACCAACAGGCAACACAACAGCATCCAATGGAAAAATAACAATGTTTGTTTCGGGCTTGCAGAAAAACGTCTCAGGAGTGTGGCTCACTGGCGGCAGCAGCGATGCTAGCATTTCTTTCTGCCTCGAGTTCAGAGACAAGCTGAACTATCTCAGGGTGACTGAATTTTCCTGCAAGGCAAGAAGACAAAAAGATAAGGACAAGAGAATACATCAATTTTTCCATGTTGATCATCGGGGGCTCCATCCTGTGACCTGTCCCATGCTTTACTCCAACACAAAACACCATTCCCAGGCCGTCCTTCTGATTTGGAGAGGGGACAAAGGGGACCACCTGGAGCTTATGCTCCGTCACCCCTGCTGCCTCTGCACATAAGGATGAGAATCTGGCAAAGAACCACTGATGAGACAGAGCTGGGAGAAACCTGACCAGGCAGCCTCTGGAAGAAGGCACTATAGGGAAATGCAACTCAGAGCAGTGAATCCTAATCTCGGCCCAGTTATGGGCAGTCACCCTCTTTCCGAGCTCAAGTTTCTTTCACAGTAAAGTGTGGAGCTGAAACTAGATGACCCTTCAAGTGCCCACATTGTAAAATTTACTAGTATTTTCATGTTTCGTTTTGGGTGGGGGGTTTTGAGAATGTGTCAAAATAGAAGATAATGTTAAAATTGTATTTTAGTTACATTACTAACAAAATATACTATCTTAGAACCTAATCACCACTTATAACACAGCTGGCAAATCTTTCCTGTAAAGAGTCAGACAGTAAATATTTTAGGCTTTGTGAACTTACCTATCTCTGTTGCAAATTACTCCACTGTCCGGTTGTAGCACAAAAGTAGTAGAGACAATACGTAAAGAATGAGGGTGGCAGTTTCAACAAAAACTTAAACAAGCAGGCACAGCAGGCCAGTGTGGCCCCTGGGCCACAGTTTGCTGACCCCAAGTTTGCACCTTTATTCTATTAAACAGAAGGCAAACATTTTTGAGCACCACCTATGTCAAAGACAGATGAGACAAAGCTGGTCTTGGCCCTCCAACAGCTTATTATAAAGGATGGGGGTGAACGGGTGGGGGTTTGGGAAGAGACCCAAGGCAGAGCATCATTAAGAAGAATGCAAGTCAGACTGAAATAGTCTGGGAAGCTCTAGACCAAGTGGGGCCTGAGCAAGAAGAAGGGAGCACAATTTTGACAGGGAGAGTTAGGGAAGGAAACCTGAGAGGCAAGTGGCCTCAGGCTGCACAGCTGTACAGGCGACTCAACACTGCCAGGATTTTATTTTTCAGGAAGAGGCAGCCACAGGAGTTTTAAAAACGAACATGTGATGATACCTACAACTACAGGAGGAAAACGCTGAATGAACACACAGAACACAGAACGAACTGGCAAGCCTGGCGGGCAAGTTGGGCGGTTACAGCAACAGCCCCACACAGAGCTGACAAGAGCCATGCCTAGCAGAGAGGTGGTGGGGCTGGAAAAGAGGAAAGGAAAATCAAATCAACTTCATTACAATGCAAATCAAGTTCTGGACCACCAGTCTGTGACCTGTGTGGGCCCTTCTTATCTTGTTGGGCCACCGGAGGGGCCTGAGAGGTCCCAGCAAGGCTATCTCTGTCTCCTCTCAGAGAAGAAGGAGGTGGAGCTGGGTGTGAACCGCCCAGGGGAGGTGGGGTTGCACTGGGGGGGGCGGGGACAGGGGCACCAGCTATCCCTAATACAGAGTACTTAGCTCCTCACCCATCAACACTGTATCAAAATGAAGACAGTTAAGGCTTATTTATTGCCAGGTATTATTCTAAGTACTTCGTATGAATTAACCCACTATAACCTCACACAACCCTACAAAGTAGATTCTGTAATTATCTGCATTTTCAAAATAAGGAAACTAAGGCCCAGAACTAGGTTAAGTAATTTACTAGAGGTTACAGCGATACTGTGGCAGAACCAGGATTCAAACCAGGCCATGTGACTCCAGGTCTGTGCTCTAATGACACTGATCCTCTAATGACACTGGTGTGGTGACTTCAGCCATTTGGGGTTTTCTTATTTTAAATTTCTATTTCTACCTCTGCCTTACATGACCTCACACCTATAAAGCAACTACAGATAACGCACTATCATATAAATTCTCTCTTGAATCTCAAAACCAACCTATGACTTAAGTAGGGTAAGTACTATGGTTTTCATTTTTCAGAGGCCACAGAGAGGCTAAGAGGCTGCCGAGGGGCACACGGCTAGTAGGTGTGACCTTGAGCCTGGTGCTCAGACTCCAGGACGGCAACGCTCTCCTGCACCAGCCCCCTTCCCAAATGAATCCCGACTTTTCCTTTTTCCCTGCTCCCAAGGAAGGGTCGGAGGAGGGCGACCACAGTGGATTCACTAACATAATGAATGTATTTACTGCACTAGGAGTAAGCCAGACTGCAATGACACCCCCCGCAAACAGCACTGAGCACCTGCTGTGGAGTCATAGAAGTCCTGCAGCCTCCCAGGTCTGTTCTCAAGGTCTTCATATTCAGACGCCTGAAGGATCATCTCACATTGGTCCAGCTGCTTCACAAATTTGGCTTCTGCAGTAGATTGGGTCTCATATTCCTAAGTGAAGGGACAATTAGAGCAGCATGATTAGGGCTTGTGTGATAGGGTAATCCAGGAAAATTCTGGTGCTGGCACCTGGAATCAGGGTCCCAGCTAAAAAGCACATTCTGAATTGCCGACATTTCTCCACAGTACACGACCCCCCACAGAGATGCGTCACCTGCACTTGCACAGCTGACGTCATCGCTCCCTGCAAGGAGCACGTGCTCACAATGCTATGAGTTCCACCAGATGCCTCCAAGTCTCACTTGTTCACATGGACACGGGCAAGCATTTTTCTTCCTCTCAAGTACCTTGTCTTCACTTCCAGATCATTATTCTTTAATCCAACTGGTTTACGTCTTTTTTAACTCCAAGCTAATATTTCATCTCATGCTTCTCAAATTATTTCCCTATTTAATGTTAGTTTTCTTTCTCAAGTTGAATTTCTGGCTCTCTCATTTAATTTTGGTTACCACTTTATGCCTGGAATCTCTGACCTCACTTTCTAAATAGGGAGGACTTAAGTCTCGCTGGGCTATGCCTCTGGAGGGCACAGTCAGGCTCTGTGAACTCTTCACACGGTGCTGTGGGCGCGTGCTGGTGGCCGGGAGGTGGTGATGTAACGGACAGGGGGTCTGCCTTTCCTCCTCCAGTGGTCCCTCCCTCCTCAGTGCAAACCTGAAACAAGAAGCTACAGAAGGTCTGTTTCTTAGAGCGTGACACATGTCCCACAACCACAGGTCCCGATTAATGCTACATAGAATCACTGTCCTTTCTATTAAAACCAAAGTGTTCCCAACTGGCTTCCCTGCAAAGTTTTCATTTGTAGTTCCACCCCAGATGTGTTCAGATAATGAACCTGTCACACTTTCTTGGCAGGATAATGTGATGTGAATTGCTGAAGGTTTCTTGGTTTCTACTAAATGCCTTATTCTTATAAAGGCAGCTATTTGAATTTTGATTGAGCTCAAAATTGTAGAGGCGAATCATCTTAATGTAAAAGCAAGTACAACCTGTTTAATTTCAAAGGCACTTATACTTACTGTTAATTAAAATGTTTAATTGTATTTATACTTATATATTTATATTTAATCAATTTAATTTCACTACTTAACAAAAATAAATGCATAGGAGTCTAGAATTTTTCTCTGTTGAAAGTGAGAAAAAAAAGATTACAGGGTCATTGGGGAATAACACATTTTACAGTAAGTTCTGGTGAAATTACACATTCCTTTTGAATATAAATCACCGGATTTTTCTCTCAAAAAGTAATGGTACTGGCATTCTTTGACTTCACTTTCCAACCAGGAGGCAGGGCAGGGAGAAAAGGACTGCGGATAAAACTTAGTCTGGAGTTAAGAAGGAACATGGCCTATTTGGGGAACTCACTGCAAACAGTTCCTAACGGCGGGATGGAGAATGGAGGGCAGGAAGGTGAGAGGGAAGAGGCCGAAGGTGGACGAGGACCCAGCTCCTGAAAGGCCTTGCAGTTTAGGCCGTCGAGTCTCAGCCTATCCTGCAGCTAATGGACATCACTGAATGGTTTCCAGTGAGAAGTGTCGTGATCAGATTTGCACTTTAGAAACAGCATTCTAGCTGCTGCGGGAAAAATGGCTAGGCTGAGCGCAGACAGGTCAGGCTTTGAAACTCTGTAGGACGAGCAGAGAAGTTACGAGAATGTGGCAATGAGGATGGGGAAAAGTGGGCTGATTTGAGAAATGGTGAGGGGAAAAAAGTAAACTGAAATGTGCAAGAAAGGGAAAGGGAGAGTCGTAAAGGACGTCCTAGATTCTAGCTTGGGAAAGTAAATAGGGAGCAAAACAGAAGAAGCAGAAAGACAAAAAACTCTACAGAGCAAAGAAAGAACAACACCAAAACCCCATGGATAACAATAACAGAGCTGGAGTTCATATCACTGCCCACAAAATATACGTGAGTGGGACAAACCACCTCCACCCCTGCATGCAATCAGGTCTGTTTGGGAGCAATTAGAAGAGATTATGGGCATCGGGGCATCTGTTGGACCTAAGAATGGGAGACTCTCTAAATTCTTAGAGATTTCAAACCTCTAAGATGATGGGTGTTCATAGTAGTATCACAATGTGAGAACAGAGCCCAACACTGGAGGAAACTTGCCCACTCCAACTGCAGCTGATAGAAGCCCAGTCCTGGTGAACTGGCCAACCTGACCTGCAGGGCCCCTTCCAGGTCATGAGGAGAAAGAGCTGAATCTAAATCGAATGGGATAAGCAACACAGAGATGAAGAAAAAGTCCAGATAAGAGGAACGAAGGGGAACAAAGCCAGGAAATCTCTGAAAGTAAACCAACACATTTTTACATGAAAGAAACCAACAAACCAAAAAAAAGGGGGGGGGGGGGAGAGGAAGCTCTGTGAAGTTAAAAAAGCTATTTGAACCAAGTTTCTTTCCGGAAGTCCAGGAAAACTACCGTAACTGTATATCAAAATGAGTAACAACAACAAAATGCAGATACTATGGTGAATCTGGATGGTCGGATTCCACACAAGCTAACCATGAGATAAAGAGAATAAAAAGTAAAATAACATCTCTACACACAATTCACACCAGGACAATATCCTTATTTTTAAAAGCAATCTGATATATAACAAACTACTTCCAAAAGATATTAAAAATGATAAGACATGAAAGAGCAACATAAAAGTAATTAGAAGTAAAAGAAAAAGTCATTTTAGAACTAAAGACTAAGTAATAAGGAACACAAGAATAATCAAACACGATAAATGATCCTACAAGAGAAACAGAAATCAAAAAGGAGGTTTAAAAGTCAAAGAAATGAAAACGATATAAAAAATAGAGAGAAGGTAATAAATACGGAAGATAAACAAAGAAGAACAAACATACACGAGTTTTGGGGGGAGAAGAACACCAAAAGAAAAAGTTATATTAAAATTTTTTTAAATAAAAAATATTTGAAAGTATATATTGAAAGTGCACACTAAGTTCTTCAGGACACTAACCCAGAATAGCCAACACCACAAAGACATATTCTAAAAAAACCGCCATATATTAAAAAGTCCTTCAGACAAATGCAAAAAGTACATCTGACATCTATCAAAAATATAATTGTAATCACCTTGACAGCAATGGTTTATGACAGAAGAAAATGGAAGTTACACATTTAAGATACTCCAGGAAAGAAATTGGGAGCCAAGGTTTTCATTTCAGCTGTAACTGACCTTCAGGCCTAAAGAACCAGAGGGACTATTACAGACATGTGACACTGAGGGAATGCTACTCCTGTGGCCCTTCTTGCAGAACCTGCGGGAGAACCGGTTTCAGACAACCAAAACGACTGGGGAGAGACTGACATTAGGACCGGTGGTGAACATCAACCACACGGGTACTTACAGAACTGAGGTTAAATGAGGTTTAAAAAGAGAGGGGTCACAGTATGTAATGGTTAAATGTTTTGACAATGTGGGTATATTGTACAACTATAAAAATAGGGAGAGAATAGAGATAGCAAAGGCAAACAATTTTTAAAACTGTTCTCAACAATCAGAACTGATGATGGTGGTGTGTACAAGTGTTATTCTGAGATGGTACATGTGTAATGAAGGATGAAGATTACGTAACCAGGATTCCTGGTGTAGACAGACATGCAACATAACATGCAAGAGACTAAGTACAAACTGAATTGGAAATACCACTATGAATTCACAAGCTATCTTATATATACATATATGTACAAACTCTGTTCATTAAAAAGTACAGAAATAATAATGAACTCAGCAGCAATAAGCATCCTTAGTATCATACTGTGGTCTTGAAATAACAGTTCCCATTTCAAAATAAACTGAAAAGAAAACCGGTCGTCTGGCCAGGGCTTGTTCAAGATGAATGAGGCTGAATCACCCTGCCATTCCTGCTATCAAGGAAGCCAGCAAAGTCAAGTGCTTTCACCACAGCTTTCTCATCTGACGTTAACCAGAGAGTAGATGAAGGAGAAGCATCTGGTAACAAAGCTATTTCCACTACAAAGTGAAAATGAAATAAAAACACTAGAATACCATTCTGTAACACCAAGGGACTGAGGGATACAAGCACCAAGGTAACCCAGACATATGTGTTGCATGATGAAAGAATCCACCACCACCTACAGTTCTGCCAGAAGGGTCCCACCTGAGTCTGACCCAGCCTCTGGACACAGCTGCAAGTCTGCAGAAAATAAGGACCTCTCTCTGCATCGTGACCGTGGAACTGGCAAAACCCATGCCACCAGAAACTCAACTACAAGCCAAATGGACTGCATTCTTCAATGATAATGTGCAGAAAAAGAAAGGGGGGAGAGAACTGTAGATTAAAGGATATATAAAAAATGTTCGTTGTAAAAGAAATGGACACTGTTAAACTAAAAGATCTAGGGATGAACACTTGGGTGATAAAACCATAAAAAAGTTCAGCAACCACCATGAAAAGTACAGGCTGTGTTGGGGCAAGGTACGAAAAGGCCATCTGGGGAGAACGGCGAAGTTCCAACTCCTGACACGGATGGGAGTTGCAAGGAAGTTATTCTTCTAATAACTTACTATGCCACACATTGGTTTTTGTGTAGTTTTCTATATTTTTCAATAAAAGTTTTTAAACAATAAAAATGGCCACAGACAGTGAGGGCCATGCTGAGTTGCGGTTCCTATGGGTATTTAGATGGAGCTGTCCCTGAGGCTGTTGGAGTTGTTAGTCTAGAATAGGCAGGGGTTTGTTTTGCTTCCTCCTCACCAATGAGAAGCAGCCGAGGAGGGGGCAATGGCAGCACCGTGGCTGTCTGTGCCCCTTCCCTCCAGCCACACTGCCCCTGCAGTCCTGACCCTCGGCAGCACTGGGAGGGAGTAAGCACTGACAAAGCCCCAGTGCTGTGTCAGGCATCATGGTGGCACTTCATCTTGACCTCGGTCAGCCCTAGCAACCCTTCGTAGTTCACAGGTAGGCAACATACCAAGAGGGGAGCATGTCCAAGGTCACTGAGCCAGGAAGCAATGAGATGGGAATCAAACCCAGCACCACACCACCAAAGCCCATGTCATTTTCAAGGACCAGAAATGGGTGGTGAGCATAGGGTTGGTGGGGGTGGCAGGGCTGGGGGGGGGGTGACAGCAATGCATCAGGAAATCCAGGGGCCATGAGTCTGGTTGTGCACCAGGTTTTATGGTGACCAGGGAAATGGGGAAATTGAGGAAGAAAAAATGTTACCCATGAGAAATTCCTGCAGCAGCTCAGAGGTGAAAAATAGACACACACCAGAAAGTAGTAAATTAGAGACAACTTGTTATAATAATCTAAGTTAACTAAAACATTGATGAGGCATATAAATTCAATCACAATGAATAAAAAGCAATCCATCATATATACTTACTTCCCAAAGTTCATAGAGCTCCTCTCCGAGATCCTTTGAGAGAAGTTGGGTTAACTGCTTCATAGCTGCCTAAAATATCAAAGCATTATTTTAATCACATACACATTTAAACTCATCTACAAAAGCCAAGTGCTGGGCTCAAATCCTTAAAATAACTTCCAAAGGGGCAGAATACTGGAAATATTTATGGATTACAAAAAGGGCAGTTATGTACATTAAATAAGAACAAGTATTTATTCACATGGACATCACTAACCACTTATTTTGTGGCCTGAAGCACACCACACATAAAAAAGGACTATGAGGAGGGTGTGAGACAATCTGAAATATCAGAGGTGAGGCCAAAGCTTTTATACCTTCGGAATGAATCACAGATGCCCACATAAACTTCAGTCATAAGCATACCAGAGTTTGACACAAACAGTGAGTGGAAAGAATAGGAAAGTACCAATGAATTACAAAGCTCACTGAACTGCTTTGTACACTATTACATCCATTTTCTGTTGTTAATCTTTTTATTGCAAAATGTAAAACACCACACAAATGGGCAGTTATTGTCATTAACATAGAGAAAATTTATGATAGCATCTTGTAGGCTAACAGACTCAGAGGCTAAAAAAGGGAAATTGCAGGGTAACTGGCCAAACCGTCCATGACAAGTATGTGAAGACATCAACAGCCTCACTGAACACTCCTTGTCCTCCCTCCATAAACACGTCCAGAGATGGGGACCTGGCACCTGAAGAGGCTGCCCAAATGGCCTTTACGCAGCGCTGACAGAAGTACCTCCTCACACCCAGCTGAAATTGTCCCTCCAGTCCTTCCTCTGTGCCTCACCCCTCCTCCTCCCCTCCTGCCCTTCACAAACACAACGTACAACAGGTGGGCGGTGGCCCAGCTGGGCCAGAATTTCCGCTGCCACAGTGACTGGTCCAAGGAATGGCCATGTAAGTCAAACCAGTCACTTGGGGGCCACCTGCATAATTTGTCCCACAGAGGCTGGGAGACAGAAGCCACAGACAAGCCAGAGCGAGTCAAAGCCCAAAGTTAGAGACACGAGAATGACAGAGCAGTGAGTGTTCGGTGCTTATTTCTCGTCTCTGAAGTCCCAGGAGCCTCGTTCCCCGCACTTCCTTCACTTCTGTGTCGCTCCAGCATCCTTCTAAAATATCACATTTTGGGGCACGGGGTCTGCAAGTTACCCTCCAATGGCTTCAGATTTCTTGACCACCATCATCCTACACCTCTTCATCTATTTCAGTTCTAACCAGAGGTTAGGTTCCTTGAAAAGGAACCTTAATGGTTTAAGACCTTAATGGTTTTAAGAACCACTTTTGGCAAATGGTTCCCAGTATAAAAGTGGGAACAGTATTATATAAAATCAAAAAGGGAATTGGGGAAAAGCAATGAAAATGAATACGGGTATCTGTGTGCACATTTATTTATTACTGGGAGGAAAAATATTTAAAAATACAACCTCTTCTAGAGGAAAACGTATTTGCCAGCGTCAACAATCTGTTCTCATGTATAGAACATCACCATCGTCAATGGCTTGTAGCATCATACCACCGCAGGGTATAAAACTTAGATTATCTTGTACCTTCATTCTCTCCGAGAATGCTTCTCTCTCTTCTTGCTTCTTTTTCATAAATCTCATCAAGATACTTGAAAAAATAATTTGCAGTTTCAAAAATTAAAGGTCTCTTTATAAATAACATATCATTCCACCACTCCAGACACATAAGTTTGCCTACTGCTATTATTTAAACTGAGTAACATGTATGTGCAGGTATACTCAAAACCTAAACTCTGAGAATACTAACATAAAAGTCCTACTTTGAGAAGAGACTTTTCTTCCACTGAGGGTTGTGCACCGCACTGAATGCGGTTACTGATGTGCGGTGTGACCAGGGTGGGACAGAAGGGGAAGCACAGCCTCCTCCAGCCAGACAGTCTATCTCCATAAATGCCATCTAGGACTGAACGGCCTTCTGGAGGTCACATCCAATTACTGACTGATTGGCTTCCTGTTGACCAAAATCACAATGTCCATTAAAAAAATAAACAAGTATATTGTTGTTCTCTTCCTGAAATTGAGCAATGGTTTTCTGGATCTAAACTCAGGGATATCATTTGTTATTACACAATGAGAATTGCATTTTGAGGCCTCTTAGGTAGCTGATGTTCCTTGTTTGGCAGCAGATGCCACAGAATCGTGCCTCTATTTTTAGATGAACCCTCGGAAATCGACTCCACAGAAGTCCAGGGCACCTGGCTATGGGTGCCAGACCTTCCCTTCCAGACGGTGAGCCCTGCCACACCCACTTCCCTACTTTTTTTGCCTTGTTCATGCATAGATTTAGAGAGGAAATTTCCCTTGCTTCTTCCTGTTAGCCAAGCACATCAACAATCTGCTTAAAGTTCTGAGCTGAATGAAGCTTTCGGCAAACATCTTGCGTCAGTTTTGTGACAAGCACCCAGAAAGCATTATTTATTGTTCACACATCAGTGGTGAGGCTGAACAGTGCTGCAGTGAACTGCAAACGACCGACTCCCGGGGGGGGTTGAAACCACCTGTCCATTTCCCAGCTGAGGAACCTCAAGCAAGTTACTTAATCTCTTTGTCCTTCAGCCTTTTCAACTCTGAAATGAGGTTAATAATGGTACCTACTTGAAAGGCTTGCTGTGTGGATTAAATAGTTTATATACAAAGTATTTATTATCTGGCACATAAGCAGCACACTATAAAATGTTCACTACATTTCTTGTTTTCTCCATTTTGCCATGCTGACTAGCATAATAAAGTTTGGTTCTTCTTCCAACCTCTCGGTTCTTTGGCAACTTCGACCTTCACAGATCCATATAAAACCATGACCCTTCTCCTGTCTTAGTAAGTTTTTCCCTTTACAAAGGAATATAACCTGCCCTCGCTGTACTCCAGCCTCAAGTTCCTCCCCATTAATTCTTGATGATCCCTACCAGGAGCCCTCGACCAATTTGGGTTATAAGTGCACAGGGTCCAACAGAAGTAAGGCTTCTTTGAGTGTGGTTGGTGGGTTTCGTTAATGTCTCTCACGAAATGGACAGCAATTTGAACATTTCACCTAAAATGTCATATGGTGTATTTGAGTATGATACTGTTATGTTACAGAATTACATGCTTATGATTCTGTAATTAAAAAAGGGCATGGTTTGTGCCAGACCCTGTATTTTATCCTGCTTAGGAAGGGGCCAAGCTGCAAGTATTGCTTTTGGCCCCCCAATTCTCTCTTATACTTTCTCATCCTCATTTCATCCACATATATGCTCTCCTTCAAAACAATCAATGTCCCAGGCTTATCAAGTGTTTTTCCTCCCTCCTCCTTTGGTCTAAAGCCTTCTGGATGCAGCCTGCTATCCTCTGGGCTAATGATGCTCCCTGCTGCTCATTAGGTGCATTCCACCTCGAGCCAAGAAACCCTCATTTAATTATCGGGATGCATGGTTTGGGCGTCCACATCTTAGTCATAAACACCATCTGCATAGAGAATGGTTCAACTCTCAGATCCTCCTCTCTGTTCTCAAATTCCGGCCAGCGGCGGGAAGAGGCAACGAAATATCAGTGCTCTCCAAGCCTGGTTTCTGTCCAAGAACTTGCAGTTCTCTAAGGTGTTTCCCTTGTTTCTTCTGATTATGGTATTAATATCTCCCTCTTTGGCCTTTGCCTCTGGGGTTGGAGCCCAAAATGATATTGATTTCACGTTTTATTGGTGTTGTTCATTTCTTACTAATACAAATATTTTCTTTACCTCTAAACACTAAATTAAAGGACTCATTTTTTAAATCCAGAAACAACTATAAAGGACACATGGACAAAACCAAGGGGGTGTGGAACCAGGGAGGGAGGTGGGAAGGGCTTTGAGGAGAGGTGGAGGAAACCGGCAGTACAGCTATACTTAAAGAATAAAATTTTTAAAATGGAAAAAAAATACATAAAATGGTATTAGAGAAGAGAATATTAAGAACTATTAGTAAAAACTATAAATTATAACCATCATAGTTCTTAAAAAATAGTTGCAATAAAAATATTTGCTGAAAAAAATCTGACAAATAATAATTATAAAAATAATTATACTTGTAAGATAGAACTTTTCTCTAAAGAGCTTAACTCACACGGAGAACTCCTTCAAGTTCCAACATTCCCACTGTTCTAATGAAAGCCATGTTATCTACATCCATCTTCTAATGAAAATTGAAACCAACAGTTTGCTGTCCCTGTGTTAAACAAGGCTGGGAGCCTTGTTCTTGTGTTACACAAGGTTAAGAACCAGCAAAAACCATTCTGGTCTTACTCCAGGGAAATCCTTGCTTCTGGAAGCTAAGACTGTAAACCCCAAAATACAGTAAACACATGCAGCTCATGCTCTAAGATTGTGTCTCACCAATCCCACCAACCCAAGGCTCTTACATCCTAAACTCTCTACAGTCTCAGGGGGCTGCCCATCTTGTAAGACCCATTCAAACCTCCTCCATCCCAGGCTCTCAAACTCGATAAATATGTTCCCCTGACGTTCCCCTTCTTTTAGTGAGACACTAAGACTCCTACAAGGTGGGGCACTCCCTTACTCCAACAGGTCTAATAAATGTAGCTTTGCTTCAGCAACAGGTTTTTCTGGTGGTGTCATGTGGGGTCAACAGTCAACACTGACCTCTTCTCGCCTATGTTTCTCTTCTTTGGGGATGTTGTCTGCTGGTGCTATGTCCCCGACGATGCATTCTGCCATATCGTGAACCAGGGCTAGGCGCACACATCTGACCAGGCAAGAAGTGGCGAATAATTACATGGAATTACATTCATTACAAACCCCTTCTCTATACTATTTTGAAGTTATGTGATATATTATTTTTTTCTCTACCCTCACAGAGTATTTTAATGCAGCATTTTCTAAAGTAACTATATTTTGCCAAATTTCAACGGTTCAAGATCAAAACTGCTCATTAATATTGAACACAAAATATGAGAATGCAAAGGAAATTGTTAGTCTATATCTTTTTAGAAATGGCTGGTTTCTCAAATATCACTTTAAAAGATAAGGTATAAGGGGACTCAATGATAATAGAAAACAATATATAATAAAGATAATGAGAGAAGGACTCTCATTAGAGAGCAATAGAGCTCCAGCAACAGAGCAGGCTGAAAAGTTAAGATTAATAGGTCTTGAATAAATAATACTTGTGAATATATAATTAATAGTTAAGAAAATAATTAATACAAATAAAAAAAAGATAACTTTAGATTACAAAGCCAGGAGGTGATCTGGGGGCTACAGCATTTAGTTACTAATACAAAATTCAAGAACTCATTTCCTTAGTATACTAGTTAGATGTCACAATGAGGCCCTTTATAGAAAAATGAATAGAGTTGGATGGACCTGGGTTGAAACCTAGCAACCAACATTTATTAGCTGTGTGACCTTCTCCAAATTACTAAATTTCTTTATATGTTAAGTGTTATGAGCCTTCATTTTATCTTCTGAATAAAAGAGATACTACTTCATAAAATTAGTATGAAAATTAAATTTGGTAATTTATGATCTTGGCACATGTTGTTCAAACAATAAATGGCTATGGTTATTAGTGATAATGAGTAGTGATTAGGATAATCACTGTCAAAAAAAATGAAGGCAGGTCATCAGATAAATGTCCCAGAGGGCCAGTCTGATTCAGGTTCCCATTATCACCAAAGCAGAACAAGGCCTAACGAACAAACTGCCTGGACACGTCCCCTCCCCGCCTGCTGGCTCTCCCTGATCCAGCGAAAATCTCGCACTACTCGTAGATTTATCTCCATTCAACACTAAGTTCATCTTATACCATCTGCAGAAAATGTAAGTTCCACACTATCTACACAGTAACAGGGCTCCTCAGACTCCCTAATGAAACTTTGCTGCAATTAAATGGACTGACTTACCGTTTCCAGAGTACACCTGCACCTTCCTGCCATCAGGGTTTCCGTCCCTACGTCCTTCCCTCGGCAGGCTGTGCCTTCTACTTTGCTCCCTAGTTGATGCTCAGGGCTCACCTCGGAGTCCCTAAAACAGGTGCTCTCTCCTGTCAGAGTATGGTGCTCATTTTCTAACACAGCTTATTTTTGAAACCGCTTTGGGCCTATGCAATTCATCTGGTATTTACTTAATGTCTTATTTTGCTAGGAACATTGTCCTATACTCAGAAAAGCATTCTACACTGTTGCTTGACTGAAGGAAGAGAGAGTATCTCTTTCTCAGTTACATCTTGTGCATAACACTCCAAAAGTCACCCCACTAAAAGGGACTCCATAAAAAGTACACAATGAGCTGGTACAATGATAAAATGTAAGACGTAACACACTCGCTTCAAAGGCCCTGGAAACCCTACTACCACACATATGTTTTCTTGAGACCAAGGCAGGCTCTTTCCCTTGCCAATTAACAGAGAAAGCCCAGAGTGCTATTAACAACTGCAGCCATTTACACATAGTTCCCGTTCCCACATTTTGAATCTGCAAGGTTTACCTCAAAATGTTTTTCTTGATTTATAAACTAACCTGCCACAAGAATTTGACACACACCTGTCATGAAAAGCAGTGCATAATCATGGAGCAGAGACCCCACCTGACAAGCACTGGAGTTCACAGCTTACCGGTCTTTGTTAAGGTGATCGTCTTTGGTCACCAGCGCCATAATTGCCATCCTGTACATGTGATCGGATACACTCTCTGGCCGCTCGACATTTCTGTACACCCAGCCAGTCCGTGGGACTCTCTGATGAAAATGAAGAAGAAAAAGAAGTTTATAAAAATAAATATTTTGCCTATCTGCTATGCTCTTCAAGAGAAGTCCAGGAAATGGGACATAGAAACAGGGTTAATGGTTTCGGAACAAATGAAAATACCTAACGAGCTGAAATGACCGACATCTGGAATCCAATAAACCAGTAAGGTCAGAGAATGAGAGGGGTGGGGGGATAACTCACATGTATACAATACAAAGGTCTACAGTCAAGTTACTCTGTGCTACTGATGTATATATTTTGGAACACATGCAGTCCTTTAAACATAAAACAAGAGTGTAAAAAAGCTTATTTTTCATAGCGACAAGACTTGGGAAGTTTTGCCTTCCAACAACCACATTAGACAGCACAAGTAGAAAACGCTGGTGAAAGCTCTGAGAACAAGTGATGGACTTCCAAATTCTTAAGCAGAAGGAATAATGGCATTTCTAATGATTCTTCCTTTTATTCACATCATGATGTGATCCCGTGAGAATGCATCTCCTCCTCAGGAGCCTACATTTCATGAACTTTATAAACTATAATAACAGTGACAGGAAAGAGATAATCTCCGAGGTTAAACTTTGGAGAAATTCAGTAAAATCTAATGGGGAGGCAGCGGGGGGGGGGGGGGGGGGGGCGCGGGGGTGCATGAACGTGACATCACTAGTGTGCACTAGTTAAAATCCTCTGTCAAAAAACACAGTCTTGTTAATTCTGTAACCGTGGGATTTTCGAACACCCAGTTTTATAATCTGCCGGACTGAAGTCAGAGCTCGGAAGTCGACTCGACCTCCGAGTCGCGCCCCAAACGTACACGTACTTAACGCAGACGCGGGCCTGGGCGGAGGGCCCCGCACGTAGCCGCCCCACTCGCGCCCCAGGAACCTCCGGGGAGGCCTCCCGGCTGGGCCGAGCCCCGCGATCGCCGCCACGGCTCCGCGGTTCCTACTCCACCCGCCCCCGGTCCGCCTAGTGGGCCGGCCGGCGGCACCGTGGGGGGCGCCCTGCCCCCGCCCACCGGACGTGGAGGGCGGAGAGAGTCGGAGGCCCCGGCTGGGCGGGCGGCCTCCCCGTCCCTGGCCGCCCGAGCCTCGGAAAGCCCACCAGCGCCCACTCACCTTGAGTTGCCCGACCAGCCGCAGAAACTGCATCAGATTCCGGGCCCCGCTGCTCGAGGCGGCCACGGAGGAGGCCAGAGCCATGCGGCCGGGAAGTCCAGACTCGGGCTCCAGAGCCGCGTGGTCCGAGGCTCCGCCCCTTTCTCCCCTCCCCCCCCTCGCTTTTTCCTCCCGCTCTCCCTCCTCCTCCTCCTCCTCCCTACTTTCCGTTTCTTTCTTGCTTTCCTCTCTTTGGCAATCTTCCTCCTCATCCTCCTCCTCCATTTCCTCAACCCAGACCCTCTGTCCTGTCTTCCACCTTCCTGTCGTAGGTGGCTGCTCCCAGGAGCAGACACAGCCCTTGGCACATACATGTATTCATCACTTGCTAAACTCCATGTAAGGAACTCCATCAAACTTTTACACGGATCGGCACAGTTCCAGGGGCCGGGCGGGGTTTGAAGGAGGAGGAGGAAGACTAAGCCATATTTTGCCAAACGCTTGCCTTTTAATAACTCAGAGTCTAGTTGGAGAAAAGACAAGGAACTCTACCTAAAGATGGACAAACTATAAACCTTTGGACAGAGGCACTAGGAAAGTCCTTCGAAAAGGAGACATTAATTAGGAATGACCCAAGTACCAGTAGGACTCTGGAGTTAGCCCATAGCCAAGGACTTAGGAGATCAACACAAATGAGCTGGAGAGTGAAGACAATCCCAGAATGTAATCACTGCTTCCCTTAACGCCTCAAGTACTGAAGAATCTCCTAACCCCCCAAAAGCTGTCTGACCCCCAAAGTCACGGTCTGTCTTGACCATGTGTCTTAATTCTATCAACAATGGTAACAATTTTTAAAGGTACTTAGTGAACAAGCATACGGAAGTACTCAGGGGCAGGGACGCAGTAGGGAGGCCCATCAGAGACTATTGAAACAGTACTTCGGAGAGATGGTTTCGGTTTGGTCCAGGGTGACAGCAGTGGGGGTGCTGAGGTGTTGCATTTTGGGTAGGACTCAAAGGCAGGACTAACAGGGCTTGTGACAGATTGGACATAGGAAATGAGAGAAAGAGAAGAGTCAAGGATGACTCCACAAATTTTGGCCTGACCAACCGGATACATGGAGTTGCTATTTACTGAACTAGAGAAAAAGGCAGGAAGAGCAGGCTGTGGGGGAAGGTAGGAACCGGAAGTTTAGTTCAGGACATGTCGAGATGCCTCTTCCAGATCCTGATAAAGATATAATCTGGAGGTCAGGAGAAAGGTAAAAATTGTGTGTCGTTAGCAGGTGAGATGGGGCCCTGACTGGGGGGACCAGTTGGTTAGAATGCCATCCCCATATTCCAAGGTTGCAGGTTCAAGCCCCAGTCAGGGCCCATAGAAGAATCAACCAATGAATGCAAAAATAAGTGGGAAAAAGAAAAAAGGAAGATGGTTGGTAAAACCATGAACCTGAATGAGACCACCAGGTGAGAAAAAGTATGGACAAAGAAGAAAAGCTATCTAAGGCCTAAGCCCTGGGGTAACCCAACATTCAGGGTGGGGGAGACCAAGAATAAGCAGCCAGTGAGATAGGAAGAGGACTAAGAGATAGTTGTGTCTTGGAAGTCAAATGAGGAAAATATTTCAAGAAGGAAGGAATATGGCCAACTAAGTCATATCAGATAAAGACTGAGATTTGACTACCTAAGTTAGCTAATTCAATGTCATTGGTGACCTTGACGAGAGAAGATTCAGTTTTAGTTGGGCAAGCAGATCCCCAATTGGTTCCAGAGAAAATGAGAGTAAGTATTGCAACTCATTTAAAATGGGTGGGGCTACTGGAGGAGAGAATTTTTTTAAGACAGAAGATAGCATGGTATATTTATTAACTGATAGAGGGATCTAGTCAAGAGGGAAGAACTGATGATAAAGAGACAGAAAAGAAAAATGCTGGAATGATGGCTTTTAGTAAATAAAAAAAGATACAATCCAGTGTACAAGATGAAATATTGGCCTTAGGAACCTGGAGAATTCACCCATAATACAGAAGGAAGGAAGAATATATGCTGACTAATTAACGGTAGATGTGGTTGTTGGAGATTGTAGATTTCTCTTCTGATTGCTTCTATTTTTTCACCGAAGAAAAAGCCAAGTGTAGACTAAGCTGTGTTGTAGTAACAAGCAATCTCTGTCTCTCAGTGGTTCAGCCCATTGAAGGTTGAATGTCTAGTGCTGGTCAGCTGAGGATGCGCCTCTGACCTCACCCAAGGAGCTAGGTGACTCTTTGTGCTCCTCCGTTGATGTGACTGAAAAAAAGAACTGGCCCCTGCCTTCTGAAAGCTGTCCCTGGAAGTGCTGTAACCCTTCTACATGTCACTGGCCAGGATAAGTAATCCTGCCACAGGTAACTTCAAAAGGGGGCTGTGGCGTACAAACTGACCACGCTCTTAGAAGGGGAGGAGACCAGAGTATTTGGGAGTCGGGGGAGGAGGCATTGAAGGATTAAGCAGAGAGGAGAAAGCATAAAATAATTGCTTTGAAGAGTGGTACAGCAACAGGATTAAATATGACTAAATAACCGAATGTCAAGGACAGAGGAGCATGTATTAAAAACCGTTAGCATGATGGACTGGAAGCTATTTTTATGGTGGTAGGTGGTGCTAAATAAAGGAAGAATCAGAGACAAGTAGTCAGGTCCCCTGGAGGAAAACAAACAAATGAAAGATCCAGTAGAATAAGAAAGATGAGGATATTTGACTTGCAAAGGAATATAATGAGGAACATTCTAGAGATGATGTCATGGAGCAATGGGACCGCAAGCCAGACAGTGAACATGCGGTGTGACCTCTCATGTGTTCTGAGTGATTTGTCCCCCTTTTTTTGCCAACAGTGCCTTAATTTTCTTTAAGCTCTTTCTTAATCATGGAAGCTTTATTTAATCCTCAGGGGTATCTGTACTTGTTATTTGTAACTTCCTTTACAAAATACATGAGTTGTCTTAACTTTGAGTAATGAAATATAAGGAATTTCTTCAGGTGCCTAAGTTATCAGGAGTTTGAAGACATTAAGTTGCTGAGAAAAAATATGAATTGGGTATATGTAACTATCGAAGGGTCCTATTTTAAAGATAGAGATTTTTTGAGGGGATGTTATTATCCAAAAGTGCATGCGTATACTGATAGTTCAAAAATTACTGCCAACTTGTTGCTTTTCTTAACTGTAAATGTTCATCAAGTCTTGTTAACAGGGCTTATTCCTACCTTGTCGTCAAAAATACCAAGAAGAAGTCAGATGCAGTGCACAGAATAACGGTCCCCCAAGAAAGCCCCATGTGCCAATCTTCAGAGTCTGTGAATACGTTACATTACAAGGCAAAGGAGAGTGGTAACAGATGGGATCAAATTTGCTAATCAACTGAATTTAAAAGAGGATTATCTTGGATTACTCAGACTAGCCAAAAGTAATCTCGAAGGGCTTGGGAGGTAGCGGAGGGCGGCAGAAGAGTTGGTGTGAGTGCTACCAGGAGAGAAAGAGTCACCTGGCCATCACTGGCTTTGGAGATGGAAGGAGGTCATGAGCCAAGGAGTGCAGGTGGTTTCCCTGAGGTGGGGAAGGCAGGAAAATTGGATGCCCCCACTCAGTCCTCCAAAAAGCAATGCAGCCTGGCCAGCACCTCAAGTTTGGCCCAGTGAGACCCATGTTAGATGCCTTACCTCCAGAACTGACCGACAGTAAACTTGCGCTATGTGAAGCTAGTATAGTTACAGTAATGTGTTACAGAAGCCATAGGAAACGAACACAGTGACTAATCAGATTGGACCACTTGGCTCCTTTTTACCAGCTACTCTCGTCACCTTTTTCTTTCCTGAAGAACTGAAACTGGCAAGGCCCTTTGCCCTCCAAACCAATGATTTATTTCCAGGACCTGTTGGCTGACCACTACCATTAGGGGAAATGGGAATCCATTTCTTCCCACAGAAGGAGGTGCCAGTTCGAAGCAATGCCCAGGGAAAACGATTTGGCACCACTCGCTGGCGTCCACTGAAAGAAAAGATGAAATGAGAAGACTTTCATTGGAAAGATCCCTCACTCGGGACCAAGCTGTACTTCAGGGGTGTCTGTGAGTATTCTAAAACTGTCTACAAATTGTGTAGGTTATGAGGATTTCTCCGTTTACTAGATCCTTGAAGAGATCTCCGACCAGAAAAGGAGCAAACCCTCTCGCTGCTGCAGAAGCTGCTTGGATGTGCGGCTGTGGCAGAGCTCACAGAGCTTTGGCCTTGGTGTTCGAAACAAACAGGACTATCGCCTAGTGAGCCTCTGTTGGGGAGACATACTGTTACCATCTCTCCTCATTTTAACTCTCCCAACATCCCTCTAAAGCTTAATAACCCCACATTTCAGATTAGAAAACCGTGTTGCCCAGACGCTGAGGAACTGGCCTAAGTTTCCATCGAAATGAAGCTCTGGTTGGTGTGCATGCAAATCTTTCTTCCTATGGCACCCCGCTGCTCTCCAGCCCACTATCGCTACTCACTTGAGATTAAATTATCATCACGAAATTAAACTGATTGATTGTATGAAGTAGATTGTCTAAAGTTATATTCAAAGAATTGGGCAAGAGAATAGAAAACGGTGGATCAATCTGAGACAATTTCCCCAGAAAACATTAATGAATATACTTAAGGAACCAACTAAACAGTAAACCCCTGAAGACATCTCAGGAAGAAATAGTGCTTCTGCCTGCTGTGTCTTCATAAATGAAAAGGTTAGCAATTGGTCCGCATCAGTGGTTCTCAAGCTCAGGGGGATTTTGCCCTGAGGGAAAATTTAGCAATGTTTGGGGATGTTTTTGTTGTCACAAAGTGTACGTGTGTGCACACCTAGTGGGCAGGGGCCAGGGCTGCTGCTGGAAGTCCTACAAATCCCAAGACAACCTCCCATGGCAAAGAATTATCTGGTGTAAAAGTTCACTAGTGCTGAGTGTAAAAAGCCACACTTTATTTATCCAAAAAGGAAGTGTTTACAATTAAATTCCTTACAATGCTGATGAATTATAATCAGCCTAGAAGTTTTGTTATGTTTATATTAAAATGAGCGATGTAGTAAAGGAAACATACAATTTTCATGCCATAACCCGTCTTTTAAAAAAAGAAAAGATTCCTGG